GCAAAGGGTGGTCAGGCCTTGGCAGGGGCTGCCCAGGGAGGTTTGGAGTGCCCAGCCCTGGAGGTGTCCAAGGCAGGCCTGGAGTGGCACTCAGTGCTCTGGGCTGGGGGGATGGTGGGAATCAGGCACAGGCTGGACTGGATGATCCTGGAGATCTTTTCCAACCTGAATGACTCTGGGATTCTCACACCCCCCAAACCCCTCCAGCAGCAGCAGAGCTGTGTGTTGGGTTATTTTCTGCCCATTAATTGCCTCTCATCCCACTGCCAGGTCTCTAAACGACTCTGCCACCAGTGGGCCAGTGATTTCCACCAGGAATTCCCACCTTTAGCTCTCCCAGATCCCCAGTTCCTCACCCAGCTCTTCCCTTGCTGTCAGAGAAATGCCTGGAGAGGAAAACCAGCGTCTTTGTTATCCTGCTGAGAGACAAAACTGGAGCCAAAACCAGCTTTGGGAAAGGGCTGCAAAGGTGGGGAAGGAGCTCCAGCAGCTCCTCAGCACCTGGAGAAAAGCTCCCTAAACTGTCAGGTTTTTTAACAAACCCCCTCCAGGGGTTGAACTTTCCCTGGTATATCTGCTATGACAGTTGTTTTGCTTCGTGATGTCAGAGGGAGCTGCACAAAAGCCTCATCCCAGCGTCGGAACAGCCTGGCAGGTCTTCCCAGCTCCCCTGGGAAAGGTTCAGCTGCGGGTTTGGAGCCGTGAAAATTCTGCCCTGTGGGGAAGGGTCGGTCACAGCAAGCTGAGAAATTCAGGTCTGTAATTTTAGATGTCCGGGAAGGCAACAGGGAGGGGTGGGAGCAGCTCCCGGGGGGTCGTTTGTGGCGTGGGAGGGGAGCTTGGACATCCTGGGGCACTTTCCCCATCCCCTGCCCGCTCCCAGCTCCTGGAAGCACTAAAATCACACAGGGCTGGGGTTAAAATCCAAGTTTCAAAGCGGGTTTATGAAGAGAATTGGTGCAGGAGGCCTTGGTGGGGGGTTCAGCCACCCCCGTGGTGATGATTGTTCCATCCCAGGGTGGTTCTGGTGTAGAGATGGGATAATCGCCCTCCTGTTAGAGGGGAAAACACAGATTTCCCTTTTCCCTCTGGGACAGGTTGAAATTCCCAGCTTTCCCTCCTGGCATTTCCACCCCGTTTGGGTGATCAGCAGGCAATTAAGGTTTAATTACAGAGGATTTAGCAGCAAAACTCCTTCTGTCATCGAGTGTATGTGGGGGGGGGGGGGGAGGAAAAGGGTTGTGATGCCAGGACTCCAAAATATCCGTGCTGAAGGAATTCGAGGCAGAAAACATCCCCTCCACCCTCCCCAGCCCCAAAAATGCCAGGGATAAAAACCAGGACACCCAGGCTTTGCCAGGAGGGGCGGTGGGAATTTTTCCATGTTCTAAACCTGCCAAAGAGGGCTGGGATGACCAGGTTTTTGGGGAAGTAAAGGATTAATCATTCCCTCTGTAACACCACAGGTCCTGGCAAAGGCTTTGACGCTGCTCCAAATCCAGCTTTTTTTTTTTTTTTTTTTTTTTTTTCCTCACAGAAACGCTGCTTTTCAGGGAATGCTTCTCTTTCTCCCCATCCAAATCCCTCTGCCACTCGTGCTGCAACATTATTCCCTGCTCACCCTTCCAAAACTCATTATGTTCTGCCATCCTTTGCAATCTGCCTCGCTGAGAGACTTTCCAGGATCTCTGTTCCCTGCCTCAAGGTGTGAGTTGCTTTGCAAGAGGCTTTTTTTTTTTTTTGTTGTGCCTGAAGCCACCTTGGGTAGAAACAACTCGTTATTTTTTTTTTTGTTTAATTGGCACGTGGTTTTTTAGCTGGTGGAGTGTGGAGATGGGCAGGGGCAGAAGAGGGGCAGGGACTGAGCAGGGGCAGCCCCCAGGGAATGGCTGGAGCTGTGTCAGGGCAGGCTCAGGGTGGATCTCAGGGAAATCAGGTTTGATCAGCAGGACTCTCCTGTCCTGAAGCTCTACTGGCTGTGACCAGTGACTGGGTTGTCCTTCAGGTGTTTTCCAATCCCTCCCAGAATAATCTTCTCCATAATTTCCCCAGGCACTGAAGGGACACTGACAGGCCTGGACTTTCCTTCTTGAAAATCAGGACAGCAATCCCCAACTTCCAGTGAGCTGGGACCTCCCTGGATTCCCCAGATCCCACAAAAATCACAGAGAGAGCTTTTGCAGTGACATCAGCAGCTCCTTGAGGATTCCTGGATGAATCCCATCAGGCCCCAGAGATCTGGAGGGATGTGCAGCAGCCTCATCCATTCCACCTGCTTCCAACTTCCCAGGGATGCTTTTCAGCCCTGGAAAAGCGATTTTGGAGCAATGGACAACAAAAACCCTTCTGGGTTTCTTCTGGGTTTCTTTCTTCTCCTGCTGGCAGGTGAAGCTCATCCCAAACAGGCATCTTCCTCATCCCAAACAGGCTCCTTCCTCATCCCAAACAAGCCTCCAGCCCTTGGACCCCCTCCTGGGTTTGCTCCATGCCCTTTCCACCGTCTCTTCCCTCCCTCTGATCACAGATGGATTAATTAAAGCAGGGAAAGTGGCTCTGATTGGCACGTGGGGGAATGTTTGGGATTAATGGGGGATGCATGGTGGGTATTAATGGATCCCCCCCCTCCACTTCCAGAGCCAAATGTGCTTCCTGGGACACGGTAAAAGGGATAAACATGAAATCAAACCTAATCCCAAGGCACCAAAGCGAGGCTTAAAATAGAGTGTAAAGATGAAACTGTGATTAAAAGCCTGTTGTCATTAATGGGCCTTGTCTGTTTAGTTGCTGCCTGGTGGCTTTCTGCCTGTTTAGTTTCAAATAATCGAAGTGTCTGTAAAATATCACGAGTCTAAAATGTCAGGTTGTGAGAGATTTTTAGTTCCTTTATAGCTGAGATGGAGCCTGGAACAAGCAGTGATTGATGGACCTGAAATAGCGACAAAAACACACCAGAAATAGTGGCCAGGCAGAGAAGGAAAAGCTCAACCCTCCCCAAAAAAATGAGGATTGTACATGGAAATTAAGGATTGAATTGTAGGTGAATTAGCAGGAAGAGTTTGTGGAGGCTCATTAGGATCGGTGAAGGTGAAAGTGATAGAAAAGGAGTGGAAAAACATGGAAAAGGAGGGGGAAAAAGAGTGAAATAGGAGTGGGAGAAGGAGGTGGAAGAGCATGGAAAAGGAGTGGGGAAAGTAATGAGAAGGGAAGGGAAAAGGGAAGGGAAAAGGGGGAGGAAAAGGAAGGGGGAAAGAATGAAAAAGGAGCGGGAAAGGAAGGGAAGGTAGTGGAAAAGGAGTGGGAAAAGTAGTGAGAAAAGAAGGGAAAAGGGAATGGGAAAGGAGGGGAAAAAGAAGGGAGGAAATGAGTGGAAAAGGAGGAGAAAATAAGGGGGAAAGGAGGTGAAAAGGAGCAGAAAAGGAGTATTTTTCTCCTGTTTGGAGATGCAGGGTTTTGTCTGTGGCTGGGAGGGGTTTTCCCCAGGATTCTCCCGCCGTGATTTGGGATGGGAAAGGCCTGGAAAAGGAGGATGAGGAAGGCTCTGGAAGCTCCTCGGTTTCCTCTCTGCCCTTGTGAAGTGTCAGCTCGGGGCCGGCTGAGCAGCCACTCGCCCGGGGCGATGGAACAGCTCCTGACAGCGCCGATCCCTCGGGATAACGGGATAACTGCGCGGGCTGTGATGCTGAACGAGCTGAAGGGACGCGAACAGCCCTTTTCTGAGCCCGGTTTTATCCCGGCGTCGTTCGGCTCTCCTTGTCAATTAGGGCTGGTTCGTTGGAGGGGGAGGGAGGTTGTCACAAACAATCCATCGGGATTTTTGTGGCGCTTCTCATCCAGGGATCAAAAGCGCTTTGTGGTGGCGCTCTGAGCTGGGGTGGATGTTCCGCTGAGCTCAGGTTTAACTGGGGGCAGTGCTCTGAGCTCGGGTTTAATTTGGGGAGGTGCTCTGAGCTCGGGTTTAATCTGAGGAGGTGCTCTGAGCTCGGGTTTAATTTGGGGAGGTGCTCTGAGCTCGGGTTTAATTTGGGGAGGTGCTCTGAGCTCGGGTTTAATTTGGGGAGGTGCTCTAAGCTCGAGTTTAGTTGCTGGGGGTGCACTGTGCTCGGCTTTAATTGAGGGGTGGAGTGTAGGAAGAGGGAGAATGGGGATTAGATGCTGAACCTCCCCAAACACTGTGGGATTGGATGCTGAACATCCCAAAACTCTGTGGGATTGGATGCTGAACCTCCCAAAACTCTGTGGGATTGGATGCTGAACATCCCAAAGCTGTGTGGGTTTGGGATTGGATGCTGAACATCCCAAAGTTCTGAGGGTTTGGGACTGGATGCTGAACATTCATGTGTGGGTTTGGATGTTGAACATTCTGAAGTTCTGTGGGTTTAGGATTGGATGCTGAATATCCCAAAACACTGTGGGATTGGATGTTAAACATCCCAAAGCTCGGTGAGGTTGAGATTGGGTGCTGAACATCCCAAAGCTCTGTGGGTGTGGGTTTGGATGTTGAACATCCCAAAGTTCTGTGGGTTTGGGATTGGATGCTGAACATCCCAAAACTCTGTGGGATTGGATGCTGAACATCCCAAAGCTCTGTGGGATTGGATGCTGAACATCCCAAAACTCTGTGGGATTGGATGCTGAACATCCCAAAGTTCTGAGGGTGTGGGATTGGATGCTGAACATCCCAAAGTTCTGTGGGTTTGGGATTGGATCCTGAACATCCCAAAACTCTGTGGGTTTGGATGTTGAACATCCTAAAGTTCTATGGGATTGGATGCTGAACATCCCAAAGTTCTGAGGGTTTGGGATTGGATGCTGAACATCCCAAAGTTCTGTGGGTTTGGGATTGGATGCTGACCATCCCAAAGCTCTCTGAGCTGTCCTTGGACATCTCCCACCTTCACCTCTCCCACCAAACCTCTCCTTTTCCCCGCTGGTGACGAACCCCCCTCGGTGCCTCCCTTGCAGCTCCTGGGCCTGGTGATCCTGTGCGTGGGGATTTATGCTGAGGTGGAGAGGCAGAAGCACAAGACCCTGGAAGGGATTTTCCTGGCTCCAGCTGTCATCCTGCTCCTGCTGGGGGTCACCATGTTCGTGGTGTCCTTCGTGGGAGTGGTGGGGAGTCTGCGGGACAACCGGACCCTGCTGAAGATGGTGAGACCCTTGGGCTGGGCTGGGGGGTGGGGAGGGGTCTCAGGGAGGAAAATCAGTGTATCCTGAGTCATCACCATGGCTTTGTGTGGATTGAAACCCCTTTCTGGATGGAAATCCTGCCTGGTGTTGCTTCTTGGTGCTCTCAGCTCAGCTGTGAATTGGTGGAGAGGGAGTGGGGAGAGGATGGATTTAAATTGGTGTAAAATGCCCTCATTTCCTATTTAAATTGTGGGTAAAACAACCAATTGCCCTGTTTTCCGTGGCTGGATCCTTCCCAGCAGGCTGGTCCTTCCTCCTGGGACGACAAGGGGATTATTTTGGGGGCTGAGATCCCACCTCTGGTGGAGCAAAATCTCCACTGCTGAGCTGATTTTACCTGTGATGATGCCAAGAGAAAACAGCTTCGTTTCCTTCCACAGGGGAGCTGTAAACAGAGGGGAAAAAAATCCCCTGGGAAGTCCAAATTGGAAGAGATCCAGGACTTTAGGGCAAAGCTGTTCCCTTCCAGCCTGCTTTCCAGGGTTTTGGTGGTGTGTTGAGCACCTTCCCTGCAGCTCCTCAGGGGCTGACAGCTCTGCCTCCTGACAGGGGGTTTGGAAGGGGAATTCTGGGGACAAAACTCCTGCTGTGGGTTATTCCCCAGGGCAGGAATGAAGCTGCTGAGATCCACAGGGAGGAAATCCCAACCCACAGGGGCAGGATTGGGATTATTTCGCTCCCTCAAGCTGTGCCCGTTGAAGATTTGATTTGTCCAACGAGGCGTGAAACACAAACGAGCTCAGGTTTCTGTCGCCGGGGATAATTCCCGCCCTCTGATGTGTCAATTTTCCACTTGCAAATCCGCTCTGAGTGCTGGAATCAGGACTGACGGGGATTCAGGGGCGTTAACACAGAAAACAAGGCGTTATCAGGAAGTGGAAGTGCTTCTCCTGCCTTGGGATCAGCCAAAAGGAGGAACAGGACACTGGAGAGCTTGGACAGCAGGTGGACAAAAAAAAGCAGGTGAAATGTTCTCCACCCCAACAAAAACTCAGCTCTGGAGGGAAAATAATTTCTAGGAGTAAAGTTCTAAAGCCACTCTCTCCCTCTCCCTCTGCAACTGGACAGAGGAGAGAGAAAAACCAACAATGAAGGATTAGAAAATTATAGAGTTATAGATATAACATTATTATAGATTATATTCATTATTATTACAATCATAATAACATTATTATAGAGTTATATATATATATATAAAATAGAGTTCAATGGTGGCACAGGACAGATTTTAGGATTTGAAGAGGTGAAATGATGGCACAGCACAGATTTTAGGGTTTGAAGAGGAGCACGAGGTTGCCAATCAGGGGGCCATTGTGTGGATGGGCAATTGTTCTCCTGGCAAGATAAATCCCCCCTGGAGGAGCCTCAGCTCCTGCTGATTCTGAATCAGAGCAATCAGAGCCACACAAGGAGCTCTTGGAGCTGAGCTGGGCCAAGCAGCTGGTTTTTTTTTTTTTTTCCCCACTGATTTTATGAGGGGAAAAAGGCCAAAATTAAGGTGGAAAACGTTGTGACACATCCCTGTGCCGGCCTCAAATCATCCCCAGGAGCAGCCCCTGGAAATGGGGCTTCAAACAGAGGAGCTGAAAAGACCAATAAAGGAAGGAGTCAATCCCCTCATTTGTATTTCTGCATTTGGAATTGGGCGAAAATGGTTTGAAAGAGTGAAATGGTTTAGTGGAATTAGGAAATAATTCAAAAGACTTGGCCGAGGAAACAGTTTGTGAAATGGTTTTCACAACGGGAGGAGCCCGTGGAGCCCCCAGAGAAGGATTTGCTAAGTCCAGGGTGATATTGGGGATATCCAAGGGGTTTCATCTGAATTAGGAGTTCCCAGGGAATTTCCTGGTGCTCCTTAAAGGATTGAGCCGATTGTGCCATTGGAATTATTTCCCTGCTCGAGGGAAGAGCAGCAGGTCTTTGGGAAGAGGTGAGATTTTATTGCCTGACCCTCCAACTTGGAAATAAATCGGATTGGAAAGGAGCTGTTGCTCCTGAAAGTGGAGGGAAGGAGGGTCTAAGAGGTGACATCCATAAAAATCTCCTTTTTGGGGAGGATTTGGGGGAATATCAGAGTGTTCTGGATGCTGCAACCACCCTGCTCTTGAGATGGGGGGGGAGGGTAACAGAGCTACAACCAAGGAAGGGTTAAAAGCAGCCAAAAATAACCCAGCTGAAAGTTATAAAAGCCAAAAAAAAGTGGGGAAAGGAGGGTTTTGGCAGGTCTGGTGAGGGGGGCAAATTTGGCCTCCAAGAAAAAGGGCAGAGGGGCAACTGTGGGACTTGGATGGACCACCTGGGGCTCCCAGGAATTCCAGTTGGATATTCAGGGTCCCTTCCAGCCACTCCCTGGCTCTGTGCTTCTGTGAGATGCAGGAAGGATGGAAAAGCTCCTGGAATAAGGAAAAGCACCAGGGAAATGTGGGATTGATGTTTAAGCAGAGCAAACTCTGCCTGGGAAGAGCTGCTGTGATGCCACAGCCCGGGCAGGGAAGAGCCACTGGCTGCCACCCCCACAAGGAAAACAGGCTGAAACAATCACCAAAACACCAAAAATCTCCCCAGATCCTTCCCTTCCACCCACCCCAGCAGCACCTGGGGGCTCAGAAAGGAAAATATTTGCTTTGTGATGCTCCACTTCCTCCGTCAGCAAAGGATGAGATGACGAGGGTGGTGATTTCTGGAGAGCCCAGGAAATAACCCAAAAGCCAAAAGAAAGGAACCCACAAACACATTCCTGGGGATTTTGCAGCAGGACATCAGGGAAGATGAGGATGGACACACTGCTCTTGAATCCTTCTGCCCTTCCTGATGAACTGAGCATGAAAACACTGCAGGCAGAGCAGAAACTGCTGCTGAATTCCGGAAATCCGGCGGCTTTTTGGCCGAGAAAAAATTTAATAATGCTCAGGCCTTGAAGAGAAGGTGCCACAAACCCACCCTGGGATGAGATCTGGGAGGGGTTGGAGGGAATTTGCTCCACATCCCAAGCCTGCTGGAACAGGTACATTCTGTCTTCATGCAAATAACCCCCAGCATTTTGATTTTTATCCATTTTCAACATCGCTTCCCCAGCACATGGGCCACATGTGCAGCCTTTGAATGCTGAGCTGGGTGATAAATAAACCTCTCACTCCACCTGGGAGGCCACTAAATCATCTTTTCTGCCTCCCAGAAAGGTGAACCTGGATCCTTTTCCCACCAAAACTGAACCTTTAAATGATGTTTTTAAAGCCACCGTCTCTCCCTGATGTCCCCTGGCCCTCCCTCGGGCTTGGCTTTGCTGCTCAAAGGCTGTTCCCTCTGAAAAGCTCCAAAATCGTCGTTTATTCCCGCAGAGAACCAGCTCTCAGAGCTGCTTTGAAGCAAGAAAAAAAAAACAATCAAACAACCAAACCAACACAACCCTAAAATCTGTCAGGGATGGCTCTTCCAGAGAGGAAAAACGAGGACAACAAAGCCCAGATGAAGAAATTTGGCAGAGCAGCTCCTGCTGGAGCAGCACAGCAACAGCTCCCCGTGCCCAGGACACTCTTTTAGCCACAAAAAAACCCACTTTATTTTATTTAGGGAACGTGCTGAGCTCTTCAGATGGACCTGGCTGGGCCCACTGTTTATTTAATAAGAATTGAGCTTTAATTTTAATGAGAGAGAAGCAGCTCTTTGCTGGCCCTGGGTGAGATGAAGGTTTGGGTGGGGAGGGAACATCATCTTTCATCCTGATTATTATTTTTTCAGTTGATTTATGATTCCCAACTTGCTGCAAACTTAGGACAGCTCCGGGCAGGATGAAATGCTGTTTAATTTGGGGGGGTTTTTGCTCTTTTATTTTGCTGCTGGAGGTTGTTTAAGGTAAAAAATGCTGATTTTTTTTAAAATTTATTATTACTTTATTTATTATTAATATATAATATATGAGGCTAACATAATATATTATATATCCTATAAGATAATAACATGATGTATATTATATATTATAATAAGAGTCTAACATATATATAATATGTAAAAAACTAATATAATATATATTATATATCCTATATAAGAGAATAACATGATATATATTATATATAATGCGAGACTAACATATGTTATTCTTATGTATTATATAATGTATTAATAATAAATTACAGATGACATATACTGTGATAATATATCTTCCTATTGTATATTCTTTATTATATTTTCTTTATTATATTGTATATTGCTATAATATTTTTCTAGCAATATTAGAATATTGCTAATAACATATATAATATTATTATAATGTATTACATATTGTTACTATATTATATATTATATTCTATATTAAAACAATATTGTTATACTATTATAGTATATATTATTACTATGCATTATTATGTGAATATTTTATTATATTATATATAATAAAATACATGATTATGTGAATATTTTGTTACAATTAAGTGGATTTCTGAAGGTGAGGTTACAAACTGTGGGGTGTCCAAGGGGAATTGGGAATAATTTAGATGACATCCCACATTTTCTGTCTCCCTTTTGGCAAGGAATCCCAATCCTTCTTCCCAATTAACATTGGCCTTTTATGAAGTTTTACAAGGACCAGGATTTAAGCTCTTTTTTGGGGGCATTTTCTTTTGGAAAAGGTGATGGGGATGGAGGTGCAGCTGCTCCTCCAGTGGCTCTGAGGACTCAGCAGTGGGTGGGGAATTAAAACCCCAACGATTTGGGGGTTTGGGGGCCACGAAATGGTGTTTGGCTGCTCCGCAACGTTTCGGTTTTGCTGAGCCTTGGAGGTTAAATTGTGGCTCCCCTGGCTTTGTCAACTCCAACAGACCAACATCCAAGTTAATATTGTGGTAATAAATTTTCTCTCCCCCTCCACCCTTTTTTTTTTTAACTTGTTTTTTTGGGGGGTTTTTAGCTGGTTGCCATGGGAACCGTCCACCTTCCTTTGCCTGGTGAGGCTCCAAAATTGCAATTCCTGCAATCCTTGGGAAAACAAAACAAAAAAAGGGGACACTTTCAGCTCTGTCCAGGAGGGTTTGGATGCTCCATTCAGGGGGTTTTTTGGGGGGATGAAAAAGAGCTGGGGGAGGAAATTTTGGGGAGACAAGTGGGAGCTGAGCAGAGCTTTGTTCCCACTCTTCCAGAGTGGGATTTGAAGCTGGATGGGACCTCTCAGAGAGGTGAGGGCTGCAAGAACACCAGACCTCCTGGTTTGAGGCCTTGGCTCCACCAGGGTGTTGATTCCCAGCCTAAATTTGTTGCCATGGGAGTTACTGCCTGGATTCTGTGGGATGAGTGATCCTCCACTGCACGTCCAGCTCGGAATCTTCACGTCCAACCATCCCACCACACACCAGGACCTGCCCAGGGGTGACATTTCCTCCCACTGCTCCCACTGGGCCTGTTTTCCCCCACGGAATTCGGCCACCTGGCTCCTTCCACCCTTCCCTGAAGGGATCAGACATCTTTCCTTGTTAGGACTGAGCTCTTTGGAGGAGATTTCGGAGCCACTCTCAGGGCTCCTGATGGCCCAACAGGACACAGAGCTGGGCTAACCCTTCCTTTCCTCGTTTCAGTTCTTCTGGGTGCTGCTGGTGATCTTCCTCACGGAGCTGCTGCTGCTCTTCATCGAAATCATCTTCGAGAACAAGGTGGGTGCGGCCAGGAGGCCTCTGAGTGGTGACAAACTCCATCAGCAGGGAGGAAAGCCCTCAGTTATCTGTGATTCCTGGAAAGGGAAGGTTTTCATTGCTCTGCTGGTGCTCCAAAGCCTTGGTGGATCTCCAGCACCACCCAGAGCCTCTGGTGGAGTCACAGCCAAAAACCTGTGGGGTTTTTTTTTTTCCTCTTGAGGACTCATTAAGCTCCTCTCCTTAATTGGGTGAGCTGCTGGCTGCAGTCCCAAGGATGGGACTGAGTCAGAGCTGAGCCTGCAGGACCAGAAATGCTTGCAGTGATGCCCTTTCTGGCCACCCTCCACCTCCTGCTGCAGAAACTCTGCTGGCCCCAATTTCATCTCAGCCCTTCAATCGATCCAGTGATTAAACAGCCAATACCAATCCCTGCTGGCTCTGGGAATGAACGAGGGAAGGAGGGGGGGAAAAACCTCTGGGATTTCTGATTCCAGGCTCTGAAAATCGATTCCCTGATGGACAACCAGCTCAGTGATTCCAAAACCACCCTGCACTGCCAGGGATCATCTGGGGAAGGGATTGAATCCTCCTGATGAAGCTCCTGGATGGAGCAGAATCCATTAAGGCCTAAATTGTGCCTTAATTTAAATTGAACGGGCGATATCAAAAGTTAATTAAAAAAATCAGACAACGGGGAGGGGGGGGAGGGAGGAAAGAAGGGTCTGACAAGTGAGGAATCCACTTGACCTGAAATTGGTTGGAGGCACAAAATCACATTTGGAACAATGGCTGTTTATTAAACTCCTTAAAAACGTAGTTAATTGGATTTGGGGGTAAATAAGCAGCAAGGAGGAATTAATTTAGTGGCCCTGGAACTATTGAATATTGAAATATTGTGGAGATGCAAATGGGGTTTGGAGATTAAAAGGGATTGGAGGGGTTTTATGACCAGGACTGAATTAACCCTGTGGCGTTTCTGCCCCACCTTAAACCCAGGATTTAATTCAGGAGGTGTCCTGGGGGGCAGGAGGAGCCTGGGATGAGCCTTTCTGGGGGAAAAACAGGAAAAAAGGGTAAAAACTGGGTATTTTCAGTTGTGTTGTTAAAGGGGAGCAAACCAGGAATTCGAATCTTAATAAATTGAATTAAAATCTTACTAAACTGAATGAAAATCTTAATAAAACTCCCACCTGAGCTGTTTGAGCCCCCCTGGCTGTGTTTTCTTTGCAGCTCTGAGGTGCCTTCACTGTTCTTTTTTTTCACCTTCTTCTCCCTGTTCCTGCTCTTCCCAACCTCTAATTTTCCTGTCAGAGTTAATTTATGCAAAGCAACGTTTCCTCCCCCCTCATTCACCTGTTTCTAACTCAGAATAAAGTTCTTTTTTTTTTTCCCCTCTCATTGATATTCCTGAAAAAATCAATAATGAGGGGGGAAAATCAATAAAAAGGGGAAAAATCAATAATAAAGAAGTCAATTATAAGGAAAAAAATCAATGGCAAAAAAAAATCAGTAATGAGGAAAAATCAATAAAAGGGGAAAAATAATTAAAAATCAGCAAAAAGGAAAAAAATCAATAAAGGGAAAAATAATTAAAAAGTCAATAATAAGGAAAAAGCAATAATAAAAAATCAATAAAGGAGAAATTATCAATAACAAGTGAGAAAATCAATAAGAAGAAAAAAGAAATAAGAGAAAATCAATGAAAAGGAAAAAAGAAATATTAAAAATCGACAATAAGGAAAAAAACAATATTAAAAATCAAGAATAAGGAAAAAATCAATAAAAGGAAAAAAGTCAATACTAAAAGCAGTAAAAAGAAAAAGCTCAATGGAAAGGAAAAAATCAATCATAAAAAATGAGTAAGGAAAAAATGGAAATTAAAAAATTGGTAATAAATCAGTAGTAGGAAAAAACCAACAATGTGGAAAAAAAATCAATAAAAAGGAAAAAAATAAATACTACCAATCAATTATAAGAAAAAAATCAATAATGAAAAAGTCAGTAAGAAAAAATCAATAAAAAGGAAAAGGAAATTTAAAAATCAATAATAAGGAAAAATCAATAATATAAATTGGGTAAATAATTAAGAAGCAAAGGAAAACTAATGAGAAAAATAATGGGAAATAATAAAAACTTGAGAAAGCTGGATGGGTCTGCTTGGGTGGGCAGGGAAGGGACACGTTCCATGGGAGCTCCAACCCTGAGAGCTCAAAAATGATGGAATCTACTCCCCAAAAATAGCCTTTTTCCAGGGGTGAAATTCCTCCTCCAGCCACAGCCCTGAGAAAAACACTGATGGTTTGAGGTATTTTCCATCCCTGAGCTGTGTTTTTGGGATTTCTGTCCCCAGATGAACGAGGTTTTCCACTCCAACATCCAGGAGGGCATCAGGCACTACTACGACGACCTGGACTTCAAGAACATCCTGGACTTTGTGCAGCAGAAGGTTTGGTTGGAGGGGGAGTCACCTCAGGGGGGGTTGAGGGTGGATTTTGCATGGAATTCTTGGCTCCACTCACCCCTGAAGCACAAACATCCCTTTTCCCTGTGCTTTTTTTTTTTTATTTAATTTTATTTAAGTTTATTTATTTTAATTTATTTAAGTTTATTTATTTTAATTTAATAATTTATTTTATTTATTTTATTTGTTTATTTAAATTTATTAATTTTATTTTGTTTAAGTTTACTTATTTTATTTAAGTTTATTTTATTTCTTTATTTAAGTTTATATTTTTATTTAAGTTTATTTATTTATTTAAGTTTATTTATTTTATTTAAGTTTATTTATTTATTTATTTAAGTTTATTTATTTTATTTAAGTTTATTCCCATCCCTTGGCTGCTTTGCTTGGAATATCTTGACCCGGTTGGGTTTGCAGGGAGGGGTTTTTTTTTTGGCCACTTCTGCTCCCCAAGGGGGTTTTTGGGTGAGTTCTTCTGACGTCTGTGTGGCTGCAAAGAGCATCTCCTGCTCCTGGAGGTTTTCTGGAAGAAGAGGTGACTTCCAGCCTCCCCACAGCCCCACTGAGGTGGGAAGAGCCCCCTAAGATCTCTCCAAGTCACCAAATCACGGAATATTCCAAGGTGGAAGGGACCCTCCCAAAGGATCAACAGCTCTTAAGTCCAACCCAGCCCTAAAAAACATCCCCAAGTGCCACACCTGGGAATTTGGGGGATTTAGGTTTGCTCCTACTTTGAGGATATTTGGGTTTAACCTTTAGTTGAGTCATCCTGGAGGGACCACTTGGCTCAAAGCATTTGATAAATGGGGGGGGGGGGGAAAACAAACAGTGGAAATCTCCCAAAATTTGAGGTGCAGGAGGGGAATTTCGGGGTTTTTTTTGGTTCCTGGTTTGGCTTTCCCAGCAAAGCTCCTTCCAGGTGAAAGTTGCCTTCTCCCCCCAGCCCAGTTTCTCTCCTTTCATTAAGAAGCATCCCCAAATCTGGGAGTCTCATGCTTTTCTAGGAAGAAAAAGAGATTGGAAGCTCCTTCCTCTGTGAGGGGGTTGGAATTTAAGGGCCCTCTCTGAGCTCTCCTGTCTTGGGTTAAATACCTGCCCTTGCCTTTGGAGCCAGCCTTGCTGAGCTGAGCCCATCAATCAGGCTGAGAACCCTCTGAAGGTCTCAATTCCGAGCAAGATCGGAGGATTTTCCAGGTTTTACTCCCACCTCCCCCAAAGGAGGCTGGAATTCAGACCTCTGGATGATAAATGGGGGCAGAAAGTCCTTGCTGGAGTCACCCTGGAGGAGCCTCGGGCCACAAACCTGCAGATAAATTGGATTTATTTATGGGAATGTTCCTGGATCTCCAAACCACAGAGGTTCAGACTCTTATCAAACAATCTCCCCCCCATTTTTTACAACATTTTTCCCCTCTACTCCTTCCCTTGAATTATTATTCCCCTTTTTATTACGAGTTTTCAGGGGAAGATCCTCGTCCCCAAGTCTCTCTCTCTGTGTAAAAGCTGTGGCCCCTTCCACGTAAATCTGGCCTTAAAAATTAATTTGTCATTAATAATGAGCTCATCCAAGGGTTTTAGTGAGAAAAGTGGCAACAATTCATGGTAAATGATGGTCACAGGCAGCTCTGGGCTTGTGTTTTACCTCAGAAAAAAGCAGCTCTGGGGGTGATCCCTCGATGCTGACACCAAGTTTTCATCCTCTCAGAGTAAACTGGGCTGCTCAGGTGTCAGAAAAATCAACTTTCCTTCTCTTAAAAGGCAGATCCAGCCAGGTTTGGTGCCAGCCAACTCTCTCAGTTCTCCCTCTCTGATCATTTTTAATGGTTTGCTGGTACAAGGGGAAGGGGGAAGTTCCATTTGAATTTCAAAGGGCTGCCAGAGCTTCAGTTCTCGCCCCCAAAAGAACTCCAAGTAAAGCTCAGAGAGACGAGATGTTGCACTTTTAAACCTCCTCCCTTCTTCTGGGAAGGATTAAAGGCAGCTCTCCCAGCGGGGCTCCTTCCAGGGGGATGGCAGAGCTGGAATAAATCCTCATTTCTCAGGGGGGTGGGGGCAGGTTTGGACACTCAGAGCTGCTCAGGTGGGCCCTGGGAGCTGCTCTTCCCTCACTGACACGGGTGGGATTAAAAAACAACCGAGGGATTAGAGGTGGGAAGTCAGAAATTAGTTGTAAATTGGGTTTTTTTGCCCGTTTTGGGGTGGGAGAACCCCCCCAGAGTTGTGGCTTCTCCAACTCCCCCTGGCCAAGCGTTACCCCTCGAGGGGAGCAGATACTCAGAGGGTTAATCCTCTGCCAAAACTGCTCCTTGGAGAGTTTGTTTCTTAAAAATTGGGCAAAACCTGATTTTTTTCCCTCTCTTACCACCCTCTTCCCCCTCCTGCCCCTCCAGGTTTTTCTTTCTGGGGAAAAAAAAAAAATGCAAAGATGCAAATTTGTTTGCCACAAGAAGGGATGATTTGCTTTGCAACAAACCCAATTTTATTCTAGGGAGAACAGAGAATGACTTTCATTAATTTCTTTTTTTTTTTTGCCTTCATTGTGGGAAGAGAAGAAAAAAAGCAGCTTTTTTTTTTTATTTTATTTTTTTTTCCCCCTTTGTAGCTGCAGCATTTGATCCCTAATTTAACTTGACAGGAGGAGAAATCCCTGCTAGATTTCGGGAGCCTTATTAGCATTGAATGGCACCAACTGAGCTGCCTCCCAGAGCCAAGAAATCCGTTCATTCAGGGGCTGGAGATATTCCCCTCGGGAATAGGCTGGATTAGTCACCTGGAATTCAATGTCAGGCTGATCCAACCTGGCCTTGGACACTCTCAGGGATCCAGGGGCAGCCACAGCTTCTCTGGGAATTCCATCCCACCACCCTCCCAGGGAAGAATTCCTTCCCAAACATCCCATCTGACCCTTCTGTCTTCCAGTTTAAATCCACCCCCCCCCTTGTCCTGGCACTTCATGGCCCTGGAAATGTTGGCTCAGCTGCCCCTCTCACCCTCTCCTCTTCCTCTCTGTGCAGTTTTCCTGCTGTGGTGGGGACGAATATCGAGACTGGGGGGTCAACCAGTACCACTCCTGCAACAGCACTGGGCCCCTGGCCTGTGGGGTGCCCTACACCTGCTGCATCAGGAAGGTAAGGCACACAAGGCACAGAAAATGCCTTTATTTCACTCAATATTCCATAAAAAGCCCCACCTTTTCCAGCTGGTTATCACTGCCTATTTCTGCACTGAAGGGTTTCTTCTAAACTGCATTTTCAGCCTGACACAACAGCAGGGTGAGACGATAAAGAAGCCGTAAAATATATGTATTTATGGACTGTTTTGGTTGTATTTTTGCTCTGCTGTTTTACTGGAGGGCAAAGGCCTGGGTTTGTTTGTGTTTGTATCACCCAAGGAGTTGTTGGAAATGCCAGGGTTTTCCACTCTGTGACATCAAATGGTTTGGGGGATTGGTTTTAAAACAGCACCACAGGACTCGGGGGTGGCTCTGCCTGGAAAAGGATCCAGGGAGAGCTGAGAGCCCCTTCCAGGACCTAAAGGGGCTCCAGGAGAGCTGGAGAGGGACTGGGGACGAGGGATGGAGGGACAGGACACAGGGAATGGCTTCCCGCTGGAAAAGTGGGGATTTAGACGGGATATTGGGAAGGGATTGTTGGCTGTGAGAGTGCTGAGGGGCTGGGCTGGAATTCCCAGAGAAGCTGTGGCTGCCCCTGGATCCAAGGCCAAGCTGGAGCAACCTGGACTAGTGGAAGGTGTCCCTGCCCATGGCAGGGGTGGCACTGGATGGGATTTCAGGTCCTCCCCACCCAACCCATTCCAGGAATCCATGAGCTGGCTGCCCCTGGAAGGTGGCATCTCCAATCCTTTGGCTTGGGTGGGGCTGGACTGCAGAGGGGGGTGGATTTGCAGAGCCAGGAGGTTCTCCTGAGCTGATTCCCAGAGCTGGGAACCAAGAAACCCCCCTGCAAGCAGAGCTTTTCTGAACTCAGTGCTCTGACACAGATCATTCAATCCAAACCTGCTCCTCTTTCTCATCAATCCAACGCACGTGGGGATAAAATCCCAGGAGCTGAGCCCCAAAAACAAGCCCCCAAATCCCTGGTTGTTGTACCAGCAGTGCTATCAACTTCCAAACAGGGATTTTTGCTGAGCTTAATCCTGGTGGCAAAACCTCCTGGGGGTTCAGGGCGCTCCCAGCCTTGGCCGTGCCCCAAGGATTTAATAAGGAGAATTTATCATCATCAACCTTGTATTGTTGTAGGGGCTTTTCAGTGGGGGAAAAGGGTGAAATGGGAAGTGGTTTAATTATCACTGGAAGTCTGACATGCAAATCAGCTGCAAAAAATAATTGTCAGCTCTAATCAGGGCATTGATTAAGAATCCTAAAGCTCCTGGAGGTGGAATTAGAAACCTGTGGCTTGTCCTTTTGTGTGATACAAGTGGGGGATGTGTTGAAGAAATCCAAGTGGATTTTGGGGGATATTTTTACACTCCCCAAGGTTTTGGGTGAGAATTTGGCCTAGAAAAGACCTTGGCAGAGCAGAGAGAGAAAAATCCCAGGTGATTAATGCAGAGGGGAAGGAATAATCATGGAATGGTTGGGGTTGGAAGGGACTTTGAAGATCACCCAGTGCCACCCCCTGCCATGGGCAGGGACACCTTCCACCAGCCCAGGTTGCTCCAGCCTGGCCTTGGACACTTCCAGGGATCCAGGGGCAGCCACAGCTTCTCTGGGAATTCCATCCCACCCCTTCACCATCCTCCCAGAGAGAAATTCCTTCCCAATATCCATCCAACCCCCCGCTTTTGGCAGTGGGAAGCCTCCCTTTGGCTGCAGCTCTTGGTCCATTTTATTTGACCACCAAAGATCTCAGCCCTGGGGATGCCCAAAAACCTTTTGTTTCTCCCCAGAAAATTCCCAAAGTCTTGATTTCTGGAGAGCCCAATACCTGCAATCCCTGTGAAATTCCATTTATTCTGAAAGGGAGGCACGACTGGAGGTGAAAATCCAGGGAATGTTGGGAAAGAGCCCCTTTCCAGGAGCCCCCAGGCTGTGGAGATGCTCATGGCTTAAATCACTGGGAGAGGCTTTGGGGGCCTGAACATCCTCCAGAACAGCAGCAAACAGAGAGAAAAGGGGGTTTACAAAGTATAATTGAACTACCCCAACAACTTTCTGCCCAAATTTCCAGTTCAAGCGTCACCTCTGGGCGAAAAAGGGCAACGTGAGGTGTGAGGGTTGGCATCTGCCCGACTTCTGCTGCTCTGAAGAGGCCCAGATGGGGCAGCTCTTCTGTTTCTCCTTTTTAATTCTTATTTCTTGTATTTCTCTGAGTATTCTTTTTGTTGCTCTGGGATGAGTTTGTTGCACTTTCTCTGCCCACAGGCCCCTGGAGAGGTCGTGAACACCCTCTGTGGGTACAGGACGCTGGACAAAGAGGTGACTTTTTGGGGGGCTTTGTGAGAGATTTGCTGCTTCCTCTTCCCCAGATCCCCCCCAAAAAATCCAGTCTGGAGGTACCAGCTGGGCAGAAATTCCCTTTTATTGCTTTGCCCTGGATTTTTGGGGGTGTTTCTCAGGCTCACAGTTTTTTGGCGAGATCCAACCCAAGAAATCAACTCCCGAACCTCCTCCCGCCTTTTCTTCGCCGCGCAAGGAGAGGCAAATACAGGGAACAACATCCCCCCAAACCCAAGAGCTCAATCAGTCAACCCCAGGGATGTTTCTCCCCCCCTTTCCCAGCTCCTGGAGCTGCTCAGCATCATCCACACCCAGGGACTGTCTCCCTTGGACAGTTCCTGAACCACGACACTCCTGGGTGTGGGGAGGGTTCGCTGGTCCCTTTGTGGAACTGCTGGTCCTGAGCTGGGTTTGGAGCTTTGGGGGCGGGAGAGAAGCTGTTTTTGATGCTTTTTTGGGGTGACCAGGCTGTTCCTCTCCCCCTTTTCCCAGCGCCTGGAGCTGCTCAGCATCATCCACGTGCGGGGTTGCATCCACGCCGTGGGGCTCTGGCTCAAGGACAACTTCGAGGCCACTTTGGGCATCGTTTGCTCCCTGTTGCTCCCACAGGTATGTGGTGGGTCTCCCCTCCTGGCTTTTTTTTTTCCCCCTCTGCTGGAGGAGGAAAATAAATTCCCTTTTAGTTATTTTCCCCCTCCATTTTTCCATCTGAAACTGTGACCTGGGTAGGAAAATTATCACGGGGCGTCCTTGGGCAAATGAACAGTTGATGAGTGCGGTGGCTGACTCAGAACACTCCTGAAATCTAATTACTGATCAAATCACAGCCTCTAAAAGCAAATCACGCCCATGTGAGCAGAGCAAGTCCTCCTCTATTTGTTTTTCACAGCCCTGCTCAAACAGAGCAGAAATATCACCCAAAATGAAGCATAACGGTAAATTTAGTTGTGTTTGCCTCAGGAAATCCATTAAGGGTGCCTGAGGATCCAAGTGACTTTCCAGGTAATGAGGCTTTTCATCACAGATAATTAACAGGGAGAGAAATTCGGGGTTGGGGTTGGGACTCTTTTTGCAACGCTGTGCTGGCCAGAAATTATTTATTAATTTTTTTAATTTTAATTTTATTTGTTTTAATTACATTTATTTTAATTTTATTTTATTATTATTTATTATTAATATTATATAAATATTCTGCTTCCCAGAGTTATTTTGGACAAAACTCTGATGATTTGGGGCCGATTTGATCCTTTTTCTGATTCATTTCAAGGCTCAGAAGCAAAATCTTCCTTTTCTTTTTGGTGGATGGATTTTGGGTTCGCTGCCGAACTGGAGGGGTTTGCTGATCCTTTCCAGATAACGGGGTTTTATCTACGTGGGAATGAAATGATTTCCCGTTTTGCTGTGTTTCTGCTTGAAACAAAAGGTGGAAAGTGGTTGGGAAGAGCAGGAGCTGTTGGGGAAACAGGAGAATTTTTTCAAAGGATGGATTTTGCCCTCGAGCTCTCGGAGGGTCCAGAGGAGAAACCGAGGTGGGGGAGGTGTTTGTGCTCAACCCCGGCCGTGCTCCCCGACTTTTCTAAAGTGATGCCATTAAAAACATGCAAATGAGCCCTGGAATTCTGCTGTGCTGCCACCAGGAAACACAACAGGCACAGGAAGGGGGTGAAAAGTCGTGGAGAGCCCATTAGAGGAGCCACCCGTTGGGTTCTCCATTAACCTGCCAACGGGAAGCTTCTTCACTGGGAAGGGTGGAGGGCAGAAGCAGGGCTGGCAGCGAGGATTTCTGAGCCCTGCTGAATCTCAAGTGCTGTTGAGGCAGCTCTGTGATTCCTCTGCTGTGCCATTAAAGGCTCTTCAGATGCAGAACCTCGTCCGTCCCATCTGCTCGCCGGTTTTAAATATAAATCATGTTCGATCCTGTCGAGTTTTGGAGGGGATGAAGTTCCATCTGTGTTGCCAGGAGCTGTCAGCCCAGGCACAGCCTCATCCCCAGCAGCTGCCAGGGAGGAGAAAGTGGAGTGAGAGCTGGTGCCCAGCTCAGCAATGAGGAGCTGATGCCCAAAGACACCTTTGAGGGGAGAGAGAGAGAGAACAAGAACCTCCAGGAGAGATTTAAAGCACCCAGAAAATCTTGGCTTTGCTTCCCAAGGTCTTCTGCACACTCAGGGCTTCAGGGCTGGGATCCCTCCATGGGCTCTCCAGAAAGTTCCATGGAGATGATGAGCAGCCCCATGGGCCAAATCCATGGATAAATCCATTTCTGTGCCTCTAATAACCCTTAATAACTGGCCACATCACTGTGCAGCTTTTCCCCTCTCCCAGCCCATGCAAGGCAGGGGGAGTTTGTAATTCCATCATCCCTCCAAAATCCTGAGTGTCTCCTCCTTTTTTTAAACATCAAGCAGTGGGGATTAAAAAACCCCATGTGAGGAGTGGGAATTGGTTTTGTTCATTTGCCTTATTCACACACACCAACTCAACCATTTCCCTGCCTTTACCTTTGCCTTTAATCCCCTTTTTCCTCTTTCCCATTTCATTCTCCACAATCCCCTCTCCTCGCCCTTCATCTCAGCCCAGCTCAGGCAGAGGCTGAGCTGTCCCACCTTTCCCATCCCCCTCCAAAAGACATTTTATAATTCAGGCTCTGGCAGTCAGAGGCAAATTCCCGTTCGTGGCCTCGCCGTGTTTAATGCTGGAGCAGCCCCAGATCTTTCGGCAGGGGCAGCAGAGCACAGGAATTTCTTCCCTGCCGGCTGCTCCCTCCCCTCCCCTCCCCTTCCCTGCCTGCAGCAAGATTAGCCGAGGAGTTTTGAACGTGCAGGAGACGTGTTTGGGGTGCAAATAAGGCACAAAACCCCGTGCCTTGTTCTGGCAGCAGCTTTTGGATGGGAAATGCATCTCCAGCTGCTTCCTTGCCGGGGCTTTCGCACCTTCCACCAGCCCAGGTTGATCCAACCTGCCCTTGGACACTCCCAGGGATGGGGCAGCCACAGCTTCTCTGGGAATTCCATCCCAGCCTCTCCCAGGGAAGAATCCCTTCCCCAAATCCCATCTCAAGCCACTGCCTGGCAGTTGAAATCCATTGAAGTGCCAGTCTCCCTGGAGCTTTCTCTTCTCCAGGCTGGCCATTCCCAGCTCTCCCAGCCTGGCTCCAGAGCAGCCCTTGGATCCCCTTCCTTAGCAAACTGTAAAAAGGCAGAAAGAAGAGCATGAAAAACTCCACAACCCTTTTTTTTTTCCCCTAGAAAAGACTTGGGGTTTTGGGGTTTTTTTGTTGTTTTTTTTTTTTTTTTTGTTTTTTTTTTTCCCAATCCTAAAGAAGCAGAAAGTGATACAAGTCCAATTAAAAGGGAAAAACAAAAAAATCCCTGGCAGGTCCCTGTCAAGGGTTAAAATCCACCGACTCTGTGGAGCAGAGTGAATTGTTTCTACCTCTGTTTCGCTTTGTAATTCCATCCATCTCCAGAGCTCTGCTCTGGGAGCATCCACAGAGTAATGGATTGTCAGTGCAGGGGTAGATGTTCCCTCCTCTGAGTATAAATCCACAAGATCAACTATTTCATTCCCTTAAAAAAAAAATAAAAAATAAAAACATGCAAAATTAGACTTTCAAGAGGTGTTTTGCAGCTTTGGCATCTTCATCTCCCGCTGCCAGAGATGGTAAATGTTCCTTTGTGCAAAGGGCATCCAATCCACCAAAGTTCCCCTTTTTTTCCCTTTGCAAGATTAATTTGGGTTTTGTTTGCTTTTTAATATCCCCGTGGCTCCAGGGGCTGCTGTGTTCTCAAGTGGCTGACATGTGCTTAATGGAGTAGAAAAAGGGGAATCAAAGGGATTTTTTTCCATCTCCAGCCCGTGACCCCGACGAGAGGCTGCTCTATAAATACCAATTTATGGGAGGAAAAGTCAATAAAAGAGAAATGCTTTGCTTCTTTACTTCGTTAGCGCTGGGAAAGCCTGAAAATGAGGCAGTAATTCTGGTGAGGGGGATCCAGGTTTGCCAGCCCCCCCCAGACCTGGAGGGATTTGCATGGAAAAGGGTTTCCTGGCAGGAAGTTTGGCCTGCTTGGGCTGCAGAGGTTTTTTTGGGTTTTTTTGGGATTGTGGTGCAGAGGGATGTGCTTCGTCCTGCCAGGGCTCCTGAGCATCCTCGGCTTGCTCTTCCCCATCCTTATTTTTTGCCCTCGTGAAGCAAAATCCAGAGGGATCCTGCTTTGGTTGGGGAGGGAAATGCCCATGGAGGGGCTGAGCTGCTTCTGAGAGCTCTGAAAAGCCCCAACCTTAAAAACCATCGAATTCCAACCCCTTTCCATGAGCAGGGACACCTTCCACTATCCCAGATTGGTGCTCCAACCTGACCTTGGGCACTTCCAGGGATCCAGGGGCAGCCACAGCTTCTCTGGGCAAGCTGTGTTGGTTGGAAAAGTCCTTAAAGACCCTCTCATTCCAACCAGTGCCACGGGCAGGGACTCCTTGGGATTTCCCAGTGGATTGTTTATTGCTCTTTATGGATTCCCTGCATATCCAGAGGTCTTTGGATTTATTGGCACCCCGTGAGAGCAGCGACTTGATGGGTTTGCACCCCCAAAAATCTTGGTTTTGCAAGCCCTGGGCATTGAAATCCCCCCCAAACCAGCACAGGCAGAGGCAGAGCTGAGACCTCCCAAGGCCATAGCAGCTTCCCGAATTCCATTCAGGAAGAGCAGGCAATTTTCTGACTCATAATGACCCTCAAACAGCAACTCCCCGGCGCTTGGGGCTGAATTACCATCCCAGGGCTGGGAGGAAAAGCAGCTTTTTTTTCATGTTTTCAGCCTCCTCTTTGATGCATTTTGTTACCATGTCCCTGTGCAGCAACTCCTGCCTTCATATTGCAGAGCAATAAAATGAGCGTTGGCATCGAAATTCTCCTCACTTCTGGAAAACACGGGGCCCTTGGTGCTGGAGATATTGGATCCATCGATATTCCTGACAGCTTTTTCTCTTCTCATTAAGGGAGAGGGGATATTTAGAGGCAAGCTGGGATGGAGGCTGGCTTATAACTCAAGAGGAGGGCGAGGGTTGTCGGGATTCTGCAGGACCTGGGCTGGTTTTATTCCCTCCAGAAGATCCCCAATTTCACCAGGACACCCCTGAGCAGGAGGGGTGATGTCCCCAAACCCGTCTGGCTCTGCAGGGTGGCCTTGTAGGGCGCGAAAAGCACCCTAAACACAAACCACTGTTTGGTTTAGGGAGGGAAAAGTGACACATTTGCTTTCCAAGCTGTCACTCCGGGGGGTTCTCCTCGCTGGGGATTTCAATCTGCCCACGGTGACGAGTTAATAACAGTAAATAATGCAAAGCCTGACATGCATTTAAAGAATATCTTAAAACTTCCTAAATCCTTGAAGGCTTTGCTGCTGAATATGGATTAGGATAATCTCATTATCGGGGAGGGGGGAGCAGCATCTCTGGGCTCTCCCAGTTCATGGAGAGAGACGGATCCATCCCCAGAATTCCCAGGAGCTGCTAGATAACCTCATTCCAGGCCACTTGGATAACACAAGGAGATTCCAAGATAGTCCCAGGCTCCAGTTTCGCTGCCAGCATCCCTGCAGTTGTCCTTCCCAGCAAAAGAGCCCTGGTGGCACAAACACAGCATTCCCATCTTTCCCGAATTTCTGGGAAAGCCCTGGGAGCCAAAACACCCCCCAGGCTCCCACATCCTGCTTGTTCTTCAGATGATTAATCCTGGCATTAATCAGGGATGAGGTGGAACAGAAAACAAGCACTGACCTGAGGATCAGTGGGTGCAATCAGGGAAGCAATCTGGGAAAAATTCGGGAATGGGGAAGGATCCAGCTGAGACCTCCAAGGAAGGGCTCAGTGTCGGGAGGTTTTTTCCCCTTCTTCTGACTTGTTGAAGCTGTTGATCCCTTGGGATCCACCTGCAGGTGAATTCAGGCAGGGAAAATCGATGCTGAGCTGGTTTGGGGTGACCCCTGCACGAGGCCAAGCCCTTGGTGGAGTTTTTCCATCTTCAAAAGGCAAATTCATCAACCCCGGGGATGTTTGTTTGGCCCTTCACTCTCAGCTCAGCGGGAGACACTTTCAGCTCTCTGGGTGACCCTTTCAGCTCAGTGGGGGACCCTTTCAGCTCTCTGGGTGACACTTCTCTGATCAGTTTTTTTAACTCCATTTTCTGCAGCAAACACTTTTCCCTTCCCGGTGTGGCACAAAATGGTCCCTAATTTGTGTTTACAACCCTTTGTTCTCATCCCCATTTATCTTCCCCTAATGTTCCCACTTTCTAGGCTGTTTCAGGAATCCACTAAGGGCCCAGAAGGATGATTAATAATATTTTTCAGCTCCGAAACCTGTGCAGGAGTTTCCAGGTGATGGATGGGTCAGGTGGGGCTGGTTATTTATCGACTCTTTGATGTAACAAATGGTCCTGCAGTGCCCATTTGCAGCCTCAAAATCGGGAGGAAAAGCCCTGAGGCTGAAGATGGTCTTGTCCTTCTCCATCTCATCTATAATCTGTGTCTAAACTTTGGGAGTTTTGGGGGATGAGAAGCTGGAATTCCCAGAGAAGCTGTGGCTGCCCCTGGATCTCTGGAAGTGTCCAAGGCCAGGCTGGAGCACCCTGGGCTGGTGGAAGGTGTCCCTGCCCGTGGCAGGGGGTGGCACTGGATGGGCTTTAAATTCCTTTTCAACTCAAACCATTCCACGATTCCGTGGTCTGGGGCTTGCAGGGAATAAATTCCCTGTAGGGAATAATGATCCTACAGATCAGTGCTCAGGGTGGGGAAAGGAGGTGCAGTTTGTGTTGCCAGTGCTCCAGTTGCCCCATTTCCCCCTCAGTGTCTGAGCTGCAAATCACTCCTGGCCACGACTTGTCCTGATGTTTCCAGCCCCTGCAGTGAAGGCCCATCAGGTGAAATCAAAGCAAATTGCTTGAAATCCTGCTCTGATGAAAATCCTCCCCCTTCCTCACCGCCCTCCTGAAGATTTCAAGCCTCATTTTGAATTCCCTGCCCAGCCAGCAGGGAAATTGGAATGACCTGTATGACACCAGCCTTGCAGGAATGTCCTATTTTCAGCAAGGGCTGGACCTGGGCAACACTCCTGGTGATGTCCAACTGATCCCCATCCCTCTGTCAGGGAAGAGGGGATTTGGAGATGGATTTGGGCAGTAAATGAGTGTAGGGAGGCTGTTGGTTGGGTGGCAGATCCTCCCCTGTGCTGGGCACTGGTGGGACACCCAAAATCCTGGGGAGGTTCTGGCTCCTGGTGACAAGACATTGAGGGGCTGGAGATTGTTCCCAGGGAAGGGAAGGGGCTGGAGCAGCAGGAGGGGCTGAGGGAGCTGGGGGGGCTCATCCTGGAGAAAAGGAGGCTCAGGGGGATCTTCTGGCTCTGCAGTCCCTGCCAGGAGGGGGGAGATGAAGGGGGGTCGAGCTCTGCTCCCAGGGAACAGGGACAGGAGGAGAGGGAACGGCCTCAGGCTGTGCCAGGGGAGGGGCAGGTTGGATAGTGGGGAAATTCCTTCCTGGAAAAGGCTGTCCAGGGGTGGAGTCCCCATCCCTGAGGGCACTGAACAGCCCTGTGGATGTGGCACTTGGGGACAGGGGTCAGTGGTGGCTGAATTGTTGGCTGTGAGGGGGGGGGGAGGGGCTGGGATGGAATTCCCAGAGAAGCTGTGGATGCCCCTGGATCCCTGGAAGTGTCCAAGGCCAGGCTGGACAAGGTTTGGAGCAACCTGGGCTAGTGGAAGATGTCCCTGCCCATGGCAGGAGGTGGCACTGGGTGGGTTTAAGGTCCCTCCCAACTCAAACCATTCCATGACCGGCAATTTTCCCACCTCCAAGAGCAGGAGGGTGCTCCCAGGATTTTAAGAAACCTCCTTGGAGCAGCTCAAATCCACTGCTTCTTTAACATGATCCCGAGGCAGCTTTCCTGCTGCTAAAACACAGCATTTTGGGGCTGCTCCATGAAAAACTCCCAACCCAGAGACAACCCCTTGGGATTCAGGACGAGGAGGAGGTTGCAGAGCGGGGAAATTCCCGAACGGGATTTGCGTGACCACGAGGCGGTTTTGACCCTCCCTGTTTCGCAGGTGGTGGGGCTGGTGATGGCCTGGCTCTACTGGCAGAAGCTCAACGAGATCTACTCCAAGCTGGACACGGTGGATTTCAGGCTCCTGGAGCTGCGGGATTTCAGCTTCGGGGTGGTGGATCTCAGCGGCGCCGGCTGGTGCTGGTGCCTGCCCAGGGAAGGGGGTTACATCCCTGTCAACCCTGGGAACGAGGAGGAGGAGGAGGAGGAGCAGGAGGAAGCCAGAGCTTCCCACAGCAAGGTGTGAGGAGCTGGAGGACTCAGCGAGCTCTGGAGGTGGCGGTGAGAGTGGGAATAATGTGATTTATCTTCTCAGGGTTCTGGAGGTGCTTTGGGGAGAAAGGGAAGTTTTGGAACCTTTGGAAGGTTCCAAACTCCACCATTCGGGCGCTGCAGCTCCCCAGGGTCCTCCTGCTTGGCATTTTGGAAGTGTTTGTGCAGCTCCTGGTTGGGGTTCAGGTTGTTTTGGGGGGTTTTTTTATACAATAAATGTGAATTCTGTGGTGTTTTGCAAAGTTGTTTCCACTCTCCGCTCTCTGGTCGGGCTGTTGGGGAGGGGGTGGAACATTCCCTGTGCTCTGGGGGGTCCTTTAGGGTTCTATTATCCCATTTTCCTGAGAAATCGTGGCTTGCTGAGAGCTCCCCAGGTGGGCCCAAGCTCCAGGAAGGCAGAAAAGAAGGAAAAACTGGAGCAGCTTTGCCAGAGAGCTTTTCCAGGAATGCCAGGGAAGCACAGCTTCCATCTCCTGGATCACAGCCCCCCTTCCCGAAGGTTCCCAGCTCTTCTCCACCAACTGGGGCTTCAGTTTTCCTTCCCAGGCAAGGAAAAGGACGTTGGGATGTCAAAATGTTGGAATTTTGGAACCAGGGAGGGTTTTCCACGTGATTCCAACCCCCCCAGTGCCCAGGGAAGGAATTCCCTCTGCCAATATTCCCTTTTTTCAGCCCAGCTTGCTGAGCCCATTCCCTCCTCCTGCATCCCTTGGGAATTCAAGAGCTGGTTTTATCCAACCTCGACCGGGCTGGGAAGGGGGAAAATCGAGGAATTGCAAAAATAGATGTGATTTTACCCCCTCCAAAAAAAAACACTGCAGAGAAACCCTCTGCTGTGGGTAAACCCACCCGTGGCAAAGCTTCCCGAAAAAGCAGCCGGGAGCCAAACGCAGGGAATGAACTTGGAGCAGGGAAGGGAGGGAGCCAATGTTGGACTGCAGGGCTGTGTCTCCCTCTTGTGACCGACCCCGGGCTCCGCTTTTGTGATGAAATGGGAAACATTCCCCAGCACAGGCCTGGAAAAAACACCTTTGGAACTGGTTTTTTTCCCGTTGAAAATGGAGCTGAGCAGGAGATTACGTTTTTTTTAAATTATTATTATTATTATTATTATTATTATTATTATTATTATTATTATTATTATTATTATTATTATTATTATTATTATTATATTTTTATTTTATTTTTATTTTTATTTTTATTTTATTATTGCTATTATTACTATTATTACTGTTATTATCAATAGTCTCATTTTCATCATGTAACCATTATTATAATAATCATTATTATTTATAATAATGATGCATCATTAGATTAATCTAGTGATATCCCTTTTATTAATATTAATACAATCATTATCATAGCTATCATTATAATCCTAATTATTGTTGTATCACCATAATATATTCAGATAGTAATAATTCAGCATTTTTATAACATATTAAGATTAATATTATTAGTGCCACTATAATAATCGCAGTTATAATGACCATTTTTATTGATGTTATTAGAATAATTTATTAGAATAAAATGTTATAATAATTGTTATCATCATAATCATCATCACTATTATTATCATCATCATTATCGTTATGATCTTAATTTATTATTATTGTAGGAATTTAACAGTATTATAATAATCTAATATTATTATCTACATTATTATCATGCTCACAGTCTGTTTGTTATTGTTATTATCAGAATTTATTGCTATTATAATAATGTAGCATTTTACATTGATAAAATGAATAATAATTATTATAAATATATAAATATTAATATAAATACAATATAATTACTATAATAATAATTATAATATTAATAATGTTATTAGTCAATAAAATTGTTATTATCCCCACAATCACCCTTATTATAATCATCATTACTGTTCTTATAATTTATAATAATTCATTAGAATAATTTTTGTTATAATTGTTATCATCAGAACCATCATCACTATTCTTATGTTCTTATCATAATCGTTTATTGGCAATATAAGAATTTAACATTATTATAATAATTTACTATTATTATCTTCATAACTATCATAGTACTCATAATCACTATTATTATCATAATTTATTCATATTATAATAGTTTAGCATTTTACATTAACCTAGTACATTTTCATAATCTCTGTAATGATAATTATTATTATAATAATTTATTAATATCATAATAATTTAGCCTGTTATAATAATATAATAATATTAACAGTAATATATTATTATTATCATAATAATATAATAACAACCATTATTATACTAATCATTATAATTGTTATTATTATAATAATTTATTAGAATGATTTTATGTTTATCATAATTGTTATAATCATAATCATCATCACTATTATTATCATTATTATAGTTGTTATTATTATAATAACTTATTTATAGTATAAGAATTTAACACTATTATAAGAATCCATTATTGTCAATAGATTATTATTATTATTATTAATAATAATAATAATAATAATAATAATAATAATAATAATAATAATGCCATTACTAAAAGTGGGGAGTTTTTGCAATGAAGGAGGTAAAATCTGCAGCCCAGAAAAACATGATGAGCCGGATATTTCAGGAAGAACAGGACTCCTGCCTTCACTCAGCTCATGGAATTTTGCTTTTCTTCCTTCTCCTCCCTCTCTCCATGAGGGGTTTAATAAAACCATCAGAAATCCAAGCTGAGAAATTCAAATAAATTCCAATAAATTTCCGTGTAATTAGAGGGAAATAAAAAAGGTGAATTCCCTTTATTTTCCCTTTCTTCCCTGGACAAGCAGCCCCAGCACCCGGATTCCCTTTTCCTGGAGCCCAGCAGGGATGGGAGCAGCTCTCGGGTCTCATCCCGGGATTAATCCCGGGATTTGGGGGGGGCAGATCCACGATTCCCATGGACAGCTGGGCTGTAAATGCCTGGGAAGTGGGAAAGGTGGATTTAAAGCGAGAGCAGGGAAATGTCGATTCCCTTTGGAAAAGGTTTCCCCGACATCCCAACGTGCTCGTTGTTCCAAACCAAGGGGATGCCAAAGACATTCCCGAATTCCCATGAAATCCTGGAGGTGCTGCTGACTCAGACCAGACCTGCCCCTGCTCCAGACCTGGCCTTGTTCTTAAACCTGGCCTTGTTCTAGACCTGCCCCTGCTCCACATGGAAGAGCAAATCCACCAAAACAGGAGCTGGGAAGAAAACCGGAGCAGGGATAAAGCACCAAACAGGTTTTGCTTTGATTGTTCCAAGACTCTGGACCGTGCCATGGAATAACCCCCTGGAGGGGAGAGAAAAACCCCGAGTTCAGAGACGATTTCAGGCCAAAAATCTGATTTTCCCAGGTCTTTTTTCCCGCCTGACAACGAGCCCAGCTCTGCTGAGGAGGAGCCAGGAGCTGGTCGGTGTAGATTTATTGACACCCCCGTTCCAAGGCCGAGCGTGGAATGGGAGCAGAGCTCGGGAAGCAGAGCTGGGAGAGCTCCCCTGGCCCTGAGTTTGCTCTTCATGGCACTGAATTCGCTCGTGGTCAGCAAAACATGGAATTGCAAAAGGATTCCAGGTGTTAAACTCTCCCCCAAGCAGCGTTTGGTGCCCCAGGGGCTGAGCCTGCTGTTCCCAGCGGGGTTTCAGGAGCACCTCAGCCATGCTCCTCTGCGATTCCCCGAGGAATTCCCTCCTTAAAATCACAGAATTGCACCGGGAAAAGACACAACAGCAGTTCCCTCCCCAAATCCCCGGGAGCTGAGCCAAAACCCAGGAACAAAATGCCCCCCAACAGCCCCAGAAGACACAAATCCCGCAGGTTGGGCAGGGCCAGCTCGGATTTTCCACGTCCCCGGTGGTGTGACAGCCCCGTGCAGGGCAGGACCTCAGCTGGTTTGGTGTCCCGGCCTCTCCCGAGGTCTCTCTGCGTCCCATGATGCTCCTCTGCTCCCAAAAAGTCGATTCTGATGGGGCCCAAAATACATTTGGAGCCGGGAGCTGCGGGGCGTTGGCAGTCGGCCGTCGATAGGATGGTGGGAAGAGCAGCTTCATCCCAAGGCAATCCGGGCTCCCGCTGCCACCAGCACCCCTGACTCTCCTCTGCCAGCCCCGTCCTCCCTCTGAACCTCTTTATTTGGGGAGTTCAAGGTGAGTTTCTTGAGGGGGAAACTCGTTTTTTGCGGAACTGGGAGCTGGGGAGGGGGAGAACTGGGTTTGACTGGGAGAGGTGAGAGCGCTTTTCTTTCTTTCCCTCCTCTTCTTCCTGCTCCACTTACAATCAGGTTTTCCAGTAGTTCTACTCCATGTTGTGTTTGGATGTAGGAATTTGGGGGTGGGAGGGGGAAGCTCGATGTGTAAAATATCAGAGGGAAAACCCCCCGGGGTTTATTACCCTCATAAATCAACCATAATTAACCAGGAGGTTTAATTTCTCCTATCAAAGGGTTTATCCGGTGGGTTATTTTTGCTGCCCAGCAGAGATGTGGTAAAACTCTGACCAGCCAGCCCAGGCTGCAAAAAAACCCCTCCTATTTCATCCCAATATTATCCCATTTGCAGGGTCCTTTAGCTCTGTCCATCACCCCCCAACCTGCCACTGATGGAATCTCTTGGGGGATGTTGTGAAACTTCCTCTCTTGGAAAGTCACTTTTGGAGCAAAAATATTTCTGCCTGAAGCCTGGAGAGGGGAGGGGGGTGTATTTTGTTGCTTTTCCTGCCACCACCACCTTACCAAACCCCTCAGAATTATCCCAATAATGTTATTTTCGGGAAGCCAAGGCTGCTGTTGGTACACCCAGATTTGGGGCACAGTTGCCCATCCAGAGGAGTTTGTCCCTAAAATAAGAAAGTGTCAGGGGGGTAAAAAAAAAATCCCAAATCTTTTTCAATCAAGAGGTGCCTTTAAATATCAGCTGGGTTAAGGCTGGAACGCTGATTGGGACAAAGATGGTCTTTGCCTGGGGGAAAATGGGACAATAAATCAGGAAGCAAAGCAGAGCCAACCTGGGCACCCCTGGGCCCTTCCAGCTTTTTTTTTTTTTTTAGGTTCACACCCTGTTTGCTTGACATTTTGAACCTCTTTGCCTTGAGTTGGGGTTTTTCTTCCCTAAAATAGATGGATAATGGTGCGATTTTGCCATGGATTCCACGAGCTGGAACGGGGGACACGGCGAGGCTGGTTCTGATCACTCTCAAAGTGACTTTGGGAGGCATCGACCGGGCTGCCAGGAATAGTAACCGTTCTGCCGCCCCAGTCAAGTGTGAAAGGCAATCACTGGAGGTCAGATAATTAGGGGAGTAATTAACAGCCGGGACAAAATGTGAAGGAACTCCTTGCGGGGTTTGTGGGGGGTGGGGAGATAAAGAGGAAAGGGATCTGGAAGCGTAGGGTGGAAAATCTGTGCTCAGGAAAGCCAAGTCTGCGTCTGCAAAACCCCTTTTAGCCTTGAAAAATCCCTTCTATCTGGGCAGGTCCACCCCAGAAAACATCAAATGGGTGTTTATTGGCAGCAAATAACCTCGATGAGCTGAGCTCGTGTCCGTGGTTGTGGCATAAAATCTCCATAAAAATTCCCTGCGCTTCACCCTCCCCCCCCACTCCAACACCCTGCTTTGAGCAGCAGGAATCGGAGCCTGGAGACCGAATTTATCCCGGTTTTCTTCAGCCTGGGGGAGAGTGGAGGTGGAGCACAGGCAGGGCTGGCACAGGCAGGGCTGAGCTCACCGAGCCAGGACATTCCAGAGGGTCCCCGCTGCTTCCATTGGGAAGTCCCGGCTCTCCCGGCCGGGAAGGATCCCGTGTGTGATTTCCACAGAGAGGCTCTTCCCCTGTCCAACATCCCTGAAAACCTCTCTCTCCTTTCTCCTTGCCTCGGCTCAGCTCTCCCCGAGCAGAGGGAACATGCTGGAAGATGAGGATGGGATGAGCGAGAGGGGGCTCAGCAGCTCCAGGAGGAGATACGAGGATGAGGAAGGTGAGTGAAACCTTGGGAATGCTCCAAGGGCTTCCCTTGCCGCCTGATCCATCGGATCTCCCATGGAATAAACTCCTGGGTGCCTTAAGCCAGGTGGGAAGATGGGAAACACCTCCCTGACTTTTGAAACCGGAGTTTTGAACTGGAAAGTGAACTTTTATTTTTGTAACTGGAAGTGGCACATCCCAGATCTGCTTTTTAAAGCATTTCCCCCTTTCTAGATCTCTCCAGATCATCCCATGGAATAAACTTTAAACCTGGTGGGAAGATGGGAAACGTCTCCCTGATTTGTGTTTTTTGTTTTTGTTTTTGTTTTTAACTGGAATTTTTAACTGGAAAGTGATCCTTTTTCTTCTTTTAAACTGGAAATGGGAAATCCCAGGTCTGCTTTTTAAACTTTTCCCCTCTCTAGATCCAAGCACATCCCATGGAACAAACTTTCATGTGCTTTAATCCTGGTGGGAAGATGGGAAACATCTCCCTGGGCTTTTTTTTTTTTAACTGAAAGTTTTAACTAGAAAGTGAATTTTTCTTTTTTCATGGGAAGTGAGAAATCCCATATCTGATTTTTAAACCTTGTCCCCCTCTCTCGATCCACAACATGGAACAACCCCCTGTGTGCTTTGATCCTGCTGGGAAGGTGGGAATCATCTCCCTGGCTTTGTAAAGTGGAAGTTTTTTAACTGGAATGTGAACTTTTCTTTTTTTCATAACTGCAAATGAGAAATCCCAGCTCCGTTTTTTTCCCCCCTCCTCCTCTCTCTGGACTGGGCACATCCTATGCAATAAACTCCTGTGTGCTTTACTCCTGATGGGAAGTTGGGAATCATCTCCGTGGCTTTTTTTTTTTTTTTTTTTTTACCTGCAAGGTTTATAACTGGAAATTTTAACTGGAAAAAAGAACTTTTTTTGTTTGTTTTTTTTTGTTTGTTTGTTTGTTTGTTTGTTTGTTTGTTTTTTGTTTTGTTTTTTTTTCCTTTTTTTTTTTTAAACTGGAGAGTGAGTGAACGTTGCTTTTCAAACTGGAATTTTTAAAATCTTTTTCCTAGTCCTCTAGAATCCAGCACATCCCATGGAATGAACTGCCCGCTTGGGAAGACGGGGCTTTTTTTTAATCGCGAGTTTTTTATACGGGAAGCTTTAACCAGAAAGTAAATTTTCTTGTTGTTACACATCCCAGACGTGCTTTTCGAGCTCTCCCCCTCCTCCCTAGATTACCACTCCATCTACATCGGGGTGCCGGTGCCGCGGGGGTACCGGAGGAAGCGGCGCCGCCGGAGATCTCCCGGTTCCAGCCGGGACCGCAGCGAGAGCGAGCGGCACTTCGAGCGCCAGGACCACTCGGACACCGACGACGGCGGCCACGGCTGCTACGAGAGCGGCAACGACAACGCCAGCAGGACCAGTGAGTGCCCATCGGCTCCCCAAAAAAACCGGGAGAGCCTTTGGAGCGTCGCTCATTAAACCCCAACCCCGCGACGCGCGGAGCTTCCCAGGTTTATTTTTTTCCCCTGGGAAGCTGCCCACGAAGGAAATCGGCGCTCCAGGAGCGCAGACAAACCTCGGGCATCACACCTTGTTCCCGACGGGCTTTTTGCCCGCGGCTTTGGCCGGTCTCGTTAAATCTGCTTTGGGATTAAAGCGCAGATTAACATTTCGCGCAGCAAAGCGGCTGCAGAGCCCTCGGGGTGGGTTTTTTCCACAACCCCCCCTCTTCCTATAGAAACCTGCGTTCCGGGTTTAGGTCCGGCTCAGCTGAGCCGGGCTCCGCTTTTCCCTACGGGAGGAAAAGTTTTCCAGGGTTTTTTTAGGGCGTGGGGAGAAGTTTTTGTTTGCATCGGGCTCCACTCGCAGTTTTGGTGGGAGCGGGAGCTTCACATCCCTTCCTTTCCACAGGCGGTAAATGCCACTGGGATAAAACCCTGGGCCGGTTTGGGGCAAGAAAAGTCATTTTGCAGAGAAAAATCACTCGAAAAAACTTCAGAAATCCTCCTTATTTGGGCTAGTTTTCCTCTGGAAAAAAAAAAAAACCAAAAAAATTCCGCTCTGAGCTCGGAGAGGATTTTCCCACCTCCTTCCCGATGGGAAAGGAAAACCCTGCAGGATATAACCCCGAAGCCGTGATTTCTGCCCTCCCAGCGTTTCCCCCTCCCCTTTCTCCCTCTCTCCATCCCGCTGCCTCGCAGGGATCTCACCTCTCCCACTCGCATCCCGTTTGATTTGGTAACTTCCCGTCATGGGAGCCAAAGGGAAAGGAAAGTGCTTTATATTCTCTGTAATCTGCTCCTTAAGCCTCGGGAGTTTAACAAGCCTGAGTGGATAAAGGAGGAAGTTCGGGGGTTTGGTGGTTTTTGGTACCGAGCAGCGAAGGTTTGGTTTGGCCGGGAAGAAATGGGGGAAAAAGTGGAAACAACTCCAGGTAGGATTTTTTTTTTTTTTTCCCGGCGTTTCGTGGCAGCCGCCGTTGGGGGAGCAGGAGAGGAGGGGGGAAAAGCTCCAGGGCTGGGGGGTTTAAACTTTGTTTTTCCCTCGTAAAAACAACTTTCCCCCCTTGTAAAAGCAGCCTGGGAGCTCGCAAGGGAGCTCAGGGCCCAGAGCTCCAAAACTCATCCCTAAAAATATCCGGGGGGAATTCTCGGCCCCTGTTGTTCCCCAGCAGAGGGGGAAGTGGAAAAGGTGATGTTGGGAAGGGTAAAAGGTCTCCCAGCTTTGCAGGTTTCCTGAAAAGGAAAGGAGCATCTAATCCCGCGGGATGTGCACCCTGATCTCCTCTCTTTTTTTGGGAGATGGGGATCCTTCTGATCCATGAAAAGCCAGGGAAAGGCTGCTATGGAGCCAGAGGGGCCACGACAGCCGATGGTTAAAGTGCTGGAGCCTTAAATCAGGCTTAGTCCTGCAAACCCCAAGCAGCACCAAATTCCCCCATCCCCAATTTTATCCCTCTTTTTTTTTTTTTTTTTTTTTTTTTAATTATTCTACTTTAAGCCAGAGTGGGAATTTCAGTTTGGAAAAGCATCTCCAGGTCAGGTTTTACTGCAGGGCTGTGAAGGGCTCTGTGGCCCTGGGACTAAAGGAGGTTTAAATCCTTCCAGCTGGTCTGTCCTGTCCCATTTCCCAAGGAAATGTGGGGTCTTGTGTGTGGAGAATTATCCCAAATATCCCAAATCTCTCCCGTATAACCCAAACATTCCCAGGGTTGATGCTGAGCTGGTTCCGTGGATTTGGGCTCCATTTGGATCCACCGTGGCTGAAATCACAGGGCAGGAATTGCAGGAATTGCAGGAATTGCAGCTGGAAAGTGTTTTCCCATCCTAAAAAATTGGTTCAGGGAGATCTGGATCTTCTCTGGGCACCCCTTGAACTGTGTCTTCAAGAAACAGCTGCAGATTTTGGGGGGGTTTGGGGGGGGGTTTGGCCACTTCCCTGCAGATATTTTACTTTTGAGCTCCCAAAGATGCCAAACCTTAAATGCCATTATCCCATATATCCTCCCAAGCAAACACCTGCTCCTTCCCAGCATTTTTAGGTGCTGGATCAAATTTCCAGGTTGAAAAAACAAAACAAAACAAAACAAAACCAAAAACCAACAAGCAGGGAGACCTGGAGGAAGTTTAGGGTTTGAGAGCAAAGGCTGAGGGGGGTGTTACCAGCACTGAACCCATTTCATCCCTCTTCCCAGAACAGCACTTAGGCTTAAAGAGCCTGAAACCCTCCAGGCAGGGAGCCCAGCTCTAAAATTAACAGGAATATTTAATAATCATAATAATGGAGCTTATGGAAATGAAGGAGGACTTGACAACAGGGCTTTAGTCTGGGTGGTGGGGGCTTAGAGGGGCTTAAGTGGTTAAGCAGGCTCAGCCTAAAGGGACATCCTCTTCTTCCAGGGCCCACACGACTTGGGGTCGTCTCCTTTGGGGGGAAAAAAGGGCAATATTCCCATTTTTTTTCCCTCTGCTCACACGTGGAAGTTTAATTACCTGTTTTTTTTTTTTTTTTTTTTTTTTTTTTTTTTTTTTTTTTTTTTTTTTTTTTTTTTTTTTTTTTTTGGCCAGTTTATTACCCAACTTTCTTATTCCTAAGTTTGAAAAGGAGATAATTCAGCTAAAAAAAAAATTTAAAAATCCATTTTCCAAGCTGGGTTAATTCCTGTCGGTTTAGGATACTCGGGATTGCATGAAAATAAACCAATTTCCATGGATTTTAGGCTGATTTTAATCTCTTTGGAGCAACTGGGGACCATCCATGGGAGCATCCAGGTTCATACCCAGGTGTCTGATTCCTCCCTAGGACCACAATGTCTCGAGTTTTTTTCCTGGAAAATGGATGGAGAGGGTTAAAAGCAAATCCAACCAGGCTGGATGGGGGTTTTTTTAAGAGGTGGAGGTTCCATCACCCTCCAGGAATTCACTGGGGATGGAAAAGCCTTTTCCCACCACTCAGGAGGTGGGGGGGTGACGTGTTCCCGTGGGGAGCAGGTGGAAAGAAGTGCCCTCCCCAGCCTGGCTGCAGGAAGTTGGATTTTTCCAGCAGGAATTTGTGTTATTCCCCTTCAAGGATTCACATTCCCTGTGGGAATCCAGTGGGAAAATGTGCGTGGAGCTCTTGGGCATCCCCATCCAGACACTGTAAGGATTGGGTTGCCCAGGGCAGGAGGTTCTAACCTGGCAAAAACTGGCTCCATGGCACGGAAAAATGTGGGATAGCCCTTGGAAACAAGGATCAAAACGCTCCTGGAAGGGAATTTTATGTTATTTTAGACAGGGATGGCCACATTCCTCGATTATTTCCACTCACCCTTCCTGCCATCATCCCAGGATTCCCCTCCTGGCTTCCACTCATCCTCTCCCCCATCACCCCACATCTTTGCACAGCAACAAAAAATTGGGAGTTTGCTGGAAATCTCTGTCCTGGGGGGGGAAATCTCCAGATGAACCAGTGGAAAAAAAAGGGGGATTTTCAATCCTGCAGGAGGGTTTGGAGCTTTGCACACCCTCAATTTGGGTGTAGCTGATCCCAACTCTTCCCAAATTCCCTGCTTGGGTGCTAAAGAGCAGATCCTTCCTTCTCCCTCCTTCCAGTGTCTCCGGCTGCCGAACGTCTCCGCTACATCCTGGGGGAAGATGATGAGCCTCCCAATCCCACCCTTTTCACCGAGATGGACACCCTGCAGCACGATGGGGAGGAGATGGAGTGGAAGGAATCGGCCAGGTGAGGTGGGGAAGATGTTTTGGGGTTGAGAAAAATCGGGAGGGAGAAGAAAATCCCCTCCTTAAACACCCCCCCCCCCAGGGGGAAAGGGGAGCAGGGATTGAAAGTCGGTTCAAAAAGATATTCCTGAATCAGGGAAATGAGGGAATTGTGGCATTTTAAAGGCAAAAAAATTGGGATTTTACACAGCCTGGAAGGAGGAGGGAGAATTCCCATCTTGGCCTGGTTCTCCTCAGGCTCTGTCCTTGGATCAACCCCGAAGTTGCAGCTTTTCCAGCTCCCAGTGACCCAAGTCCTGCAGAAAGGGCTGGGAGGGGGAAAAAAAAGGGATAAAATGCTGGTAAAAGGGAGAATTAAAGCTGGGGAATGGGAATAGAGGACATAAAGAACATTTTCCCAGGTTTTCCCACACACACACCTTTTTCTGACTGGGCCAAGAGTTAAACTCTTCCCATCCTCCATCAGTCATAATAAAACTCCACCTGCTCCATCTGTAATCAAATTATTAGAGGAGTTGCAAGTGGAATTTCCTTTATTGAATTAGGAGTTTACCCAAGGGAATAATCTCCAATCCACGTGGGGTTTTTCTCTTCCTGACCTCAATTTTGTGTAAAGGTCAGTGGGGTTGAGGCTTTTTGGGGGAGCTTTGGGAAGGGAATCAGGGACGCTGATGGGATCCCAACCCTTTAGTTTCAGTAACAAAAAAGCTTGAGAGGCAAAAAAAAAATCAATGTATTCATTGGGATTTTCATTAGAAAAGGGTTGAGATGGAAGTTTCCAAATTCCTGCTGGGAGAGTGGAGTTTTCTGTTTCCCTACTCCCCAAAAAAATGATGGGAAGGCAAAAAAAATCAATATTTTCATCGGGATTTTCATCAGGAAGGTCTGGGGATGGAGGTTTCCAGATTCCTCCTTGGAGGATGGAGGTTTCTGTAGCTCCCCATCCTTCCCCACTCCCCAAAAAGCTTGGAAGGCAAACAATCAATAGGATTTTTTTTTTGGCTTTCCATCAAGGAGGGATTGAGGTGGAGGTTTCCAAATTCCTCCCTGGAGGGTGGAGGTTTCTCAAATCCCGATTTCCTCTGCCTGGTGAGGAACTTCTTTAACCACAGGAGAGCAGCTCCATGGTGGGAACAGCAGGTGGGAGCAGCTCTAAATCCACAATAAATGGGAAAAAAACCCCCCAAACCTGGCAGTGCAGGCCCCGAGCCCAGCAAGGAGATGGGATTTTGCCGCGGGCTCAGCGAGAGCGTCACGGGATGTTGATCCTGGGAAAAAGGCGCCGCTGGAAACGCGCCCTGAGAGCCCTGCGCTCCAACCCTGAGCTGCTACCCCTGTCTGCTCCCTAATGACCCACTTTCCTCGGGAAAATGGGGCAAAAAGAGAAAGGAAAAGTGACCTAATCGGCTTTGGGCTCGGCGGGAAGCTTGAACCGCCGCCCCGGCCGAGCAGCGTCGGTGCAAAGGGTTCCTCCAAAGGAATTGGGATGGGAAGCTCTGGAATTATGTGAATTAGGGTTAATTATTACAATTTGGGGGTTTGTCCCTGGCACAGACCGCTCCTGGCATTCCCAGGTGATATTTTGGGGGGTTTAGGAAACCTCCCAAGTCTCCCAGGAGGGATTTGAGGAGGGGGAAGTCCGAGGGGTTGAGTTCACTGGTGGGACTGAGAGGTTTTGTCTTCACAATCACAGAAGCAGCACTTTGCAGGGTGGTGTTATTGGATTTCTCCATCCCCATCCTGAATAACACCTGGCATTTTGTCTTTGGAGTAGCATTTCGGTGCAGCTGATCCAACACAGAGCTCTCCCCACCCTTCTCCTGCAGCTGCTTCCCAAAACCTTTCTCCTCCCACATCCTCTCTGTCTGTGCCCTCTGGGGCAGCAGGAGGCCAAATCCCAGTTGTACCAGTTCAAATTGGTCAGGTTAAGCTCGGTGAAGGCTAATCCTGGAAGTCTCCTGGAAAGGAAAAGCAGCTTTCTTTCCCAAATCGACGTCGCGCCGAGAGCTGCCCTTCCAGGAGCCTGAGCCCTGTTCCCAGGTTGCTGGGAGAAATCAGCCACCCTTCCCAAATTTTCTCTGAAGCCTTTGATTTGTAAAATCAAGGAGCAGATTTCCAACTGTTGGTTCCCGAGGGTTTGCAAACCCATCTCCCACCGTGGGAACGAACGGCCCAGGTTGAGGTCAGAGTATTTACTAAGGAATTAAAAAAAGTTGAGAGTGCCCTGGGGGTTTGCTCTCCTGGGTGCATGGCTGGTCCACGCAAATCCACCTGCAGAAAGGAAACTCCACGGAAAGAGCCATCCTCTTATTCCCTTCTCACCCACCACTCCCGCTCTGCGCCCACCCCGCTCTCGTTGCAGGTGGATCAAGTTTGAAGAGAAGGTGGAGGAAGGAGGGGAGAGGTGGAGCAAACCCCACGTGTCCACGTTGTCCTTGCACAGCCTGTTCGAGCTGCGGACGTGCCTGCAGACGGGAACAGTGCTGCTGGACCTGGATGGCTACTCCTTGCCCCAAATCATAGGTAGGAGCTGGTGGATGCCCATCCCAAACCACCTCCCCCCCCCCTCCCCGTGCCCCAAAGTGCTGGGAATGGATTTAAATGTAGATTTAAATGTATTTACTGCTCCATGAACAGAGTTGTGTGGGAATAAGCAAAGGCAGGAGTCGAGAGACATCGATTTAGCTCCAAGAATTGTTGTCCTGAGCACTCCTGGGGAGGATGGGGGGGTTGCAGCGGGGTGACCCACGGGGCCTCCCTTGCAGATGATGTCATTGAGAAGCAGATCGAGGATGGTCTGCTCAAGCCAGAGCTGAGGGAGAAGATCAGCTACGTGCTCCTCAGAAAGCACCGCCACCAAACCAAGAAGCCAATCCACCGGTCCTTGGCTGACATCGGGAAATCCGTCTCCTCCAACACCTGTGAGTCCTTGGGGCCCAACCTGGTTGCACCCTGGGGTCTTGGGGAAGAATGTCTCAGGAGAAGGGAAGGGGGGAACCCAACCATTTGGGACACCCAGGTGTTTGCTGCATTGAGAAGGACCTTGACAGTTCTGCTGCTGGTGGGTGCAAGGGTGGGGGGTCACCGGGAACTGGAAGCTGAAGAGTTGTTTGATGAGATGGGTGAGGTTGTGCGAGGAGAGCATTGTCGTGTGAGGGACAACATCACTGTGTGAGGGAAAATGTCACTGTGAGAGGGAAAATGTCACTGTGAGAGGGACAATATTACTGACTGAGTGACAATGGTGTGTGTGAGGGACAATGGCACGAGGGATAACTCTGTGGGGTGAGAACAACGTCACTGTGTGAAGGGATGTCACTGTGAGAGGGACAGCAGCGTGGTGGGAGGGACAATACCAGTGTGAGATGGACAGCGTGGTTGTGTAAGGGCCAGCAGGGTTATGTAAGGGACAACGTCGTGGTGTGAGGGGAAACATCATCGTCAGAGGGACACCATGATTGTGTAAGGGACAGTGGGAGAGCACAGTGTCATTGTGTGGGGGACATCACTGTGTGAGGGACAATGGCATTGTGTGAGGGACAACATCTGAGGGACAACATCACTGAGGGACAGTGTCATTGTGTGAGGGACAACATCTGAGAGACAACATCACTGTGTGAGGGACAATGGCATTGTGTGAGAGACAATGTCGTTGGTTAAGGGACAACATCATTGGTTAAGGGACAGTGTTGTTGTGTAAGGGACAATGCTACTGTGTGAGGGACAATGCTACTGTGTGAGGGACAATGTCACTGTGTGAGGACAATGCCATTGTGTGAGGGAAGACATAATCATGTGAGGGACAACGTCGTTTTGTGAGGACAGTGCCATTCTGTGAGTGATGTCACTGTGTGAGGGAAAACGTCATTGTGAGAGGGAAAACGTCACTGTGAGAGGGACAATCCCAGTGTGTGAGGGACAATGTTGTTTGCGAGGACAATCCCACGACGTCACCGTGTGGGGACAATGCCGCTGTGTGAGGGACAGCGGTGCTGGCGGTCTCTTGGCCAAGGGGTTTTCTGGCACAGCAGCCCACAGACAAATCCAGTCTGCTCGGCGGCTGAACCCGCCTATTTTCCAGCCATTATAAAAGGGGATTTGTTTGCTTTCACGCCTGATTATTTTCTTAGGTTTAAATGGAGGTCATTTGGTGGAGCCCGGGATTTGCCGGGTCTCAGCTGCTCCCCGGGGAGGCTGAAACAGCAGCGCCCAAGCTGAGCATGGGAGAGGCCATCAATAATATTCCCACCCTGTGGGCATTCCCGTGGTTCAGAGCAGCCGTCACCCGTGTCCAGGACTGGATATTGGAGCCAGGATTTACCCAGAGCCTTCAAAGCAGAGCCTGACTCGGAAATGTTGTGGTTATTCCCTTGCTGAGGTGGTGGTGGCACCTCTTGGGGTTTGGAAATGATGGTCGCTGGGAGGAGCAGAGGGTTCTCACGACACCGAGAACGGGTCGTGCTCAGTGGGAATCTCGTAAATATTTTTGTTGGGTTTAAGAATAAAAACAGGGAGGAGGGATGATGTGGTTGGAGGTGATGCCTCGGAGAGGTGCAGAGCAGCCCAACACAGCTGGGCCAGATGGTTTTCCAAAGGGAAAACACAGTTTTGGGGAGTTGAGGAGGTTTCCTGAGAAAATTTCTGGGCTTAGCACAGAAAATCCACAGGGGGAAGGGAAAGTCCTCACGTCAAGTGATTCAGCTCAAACATCTGAGGTTAACAAATGGGACTCATCACCAGTTAGGGAGGAGAAACACGAGGCTTGGTGGTGGTCAATGGAAATATTTGGAAGTGTGAAGTTCAAGGGCAGGTTCCTCTGGAGAATTATCAGATTAAAAAGCCAAATAAAGTGTTGGGTCTTCCTAAGTAGCGGGAATTGCATTTCTGGACCTACTGATAGCCAGGTAAAGACCACTGATGGGGCCTGAGGTGGTGCAGGAAGATTTGGGTTAAGACAGTATTTCCATTAACATTCCCTTATTGCCAGGGAATTCTTGGATTAAAAAGAGCAAACCAATTTTTAAGTCTCTCTACTTGCTCTTCTGAACCCATTGACAGCCTCGAAGGGAGTGGTGGTTGAGTGTGAGGCGGTGCAGGAAGATTTGGGGTCGGACAGTTTATTCTGATATTTCCCTTAACATTCCCTTATTACCAATAGGAAAATTCCTGTGGGTGGAATAAAAGTGCAAACAGGAGCAGGAGGTAAAACCAAACTTCTGGTGTTTTGGTGTTGGAAGGGTCATGCCTGTGTTCAGCAACTGATTTTCAGCCTGACCTGTTGCCTTCAGCACCACCCAACGTTCCCCATGGCTCCTCCAACAGCTCCTTTGTCCCAGCCCACAGCCCTGTCCAGGGAATTGTTAGATTAAAAAGCCAAAGCTTTAGTCTGATATTTCCCTTAACATCCCCCTGCTCACAAATCCCTCCAGGTGGGATGAAAGTGCGAATGAGAGGAGGAGGAGGAGGAGGGAGAATCGAATCGCCGGTGTTTCAGTGACGGAATGGTCACACGTGTGTTGATGTTCAGCCTCTGGCTGGCCTTTAGCCCCACTCCAGGTTCCCCTCCTGGATCCTCTAACACCTCCCCTCTCTCCCAGCCCGCAGCCCCGTCCGGAGCCCGGCCAGCGGAGCCGCCTTCCACCGCTCCACCGAGGACCTGCGGATGCGGCAGAGCGCGAGCTACGGCCGCCTGCGTAAGAAAGGGGGGGCTGGGGCAGCCCTAAAATAGGGGTGGAGGACAAAAAATAAGCTGGAGTATTGGAGAGGGAGATTTCGATGAGAAGGGATCCCACCACAGCCGTAATGAGGTGGTTTGGGTAACAACTGATGTCGAAAGGACTCAGGAGTCGTGGAATGGTCAAGGCGGGAAAAACCCGAAAAGATGGTCATGGAATGTTCTGAGTTGGAGGGACCCGCAGGGACCACTGAGTTAGAAGTGACCCACAGGGATCAACTTCTGGGTGAATGGCCCATGCAAGGGTTGAACCCATGATTTTGGCATTATTAAGACCATGTTGTAACCAGCTGAGCTCATCTCGAGGTCAAGTCTGACCATAAACTCTATCAATTTCACCACTAAACTGACCTGGACTCAGTGATCCTTGGGAGCCCCTTCCAACTCGGAATACTTGGGGATTCTGTGAAACCCTGTCCCCAAGTGCCACATCCACAGGTTTTTTAAACACTGCCAGGAGTGGTGACTCCACCAGTTTCTCAGCGAAGGAATTTTTCCTGATGTTGGGGGGTTCCTCTTACTGCATCTGGTTTGGAAGCCCAACCATAACAAATAATAAATAATATAAATAATAAACTAATAACTAATGTTTAATTTCGTTGCACAAAGTCCTCCCACTGTGTTTCCTCCTCACACAAGGGTTGGTTTCCTCACCTCCCCTCCCTCCTCTCCCTCAGGTCACGCGCAGAGTCGGAGCATGAACGACATCTCGGACACACCAAGCACAGACCAGGTAACCACCCCAAAAACCTCAGGGCAGTGCCATCAGGGGCATCTGCACCACACCCATGGTGGGGTTGTTCCCATCCAATTATCCAACCCATGGGGCTGTTCCCATCCAACCCCGTGATGGGGTTGTTCCCATCCAACCATCCAACCCCATGGGGCTGTTCCCATCCAACCCCATGAGGTTCTTCCCACCCAACCATCCATCCCCAATCCCTGTGATGGGGTTGTTCCCATCCAACCATCCAACCCCATTCCTGGGATGGGGTTGTTCCCATCCAACCATCCAACCCCATTCCTGGGATGGGGTTGTTCCCATCCAACCATCCAACCCCATGAGGTTCTTCCCATCCAACCATCCAACCCCACAATGGGGCTGTTCCATCCCAACCTGAGGGAAGGTCCACGGGGGCCCGCTCAGTATCCCCACAAATTCCTAATTTGGGAAGTCAAGGGCTGGACTGATCCCTGTGAACTTGTGGGGAAACTGTGGCAGAAGCGACACCTGTGCTTGCAAGGAGTTAGGGATGTGCGAGGACGTCGAGGGAGCTCGAAATCCTTGGGGGCGGAGAAAAAAAAAATTCCTTAAAATCTTTGGATAGGAAAGGAGAGATGCTTGGAAGAGCAAAGGGATCCCTGAAGAACCTTTTGCTTGGTAAGGGCAGGTTGCAGGGGGTAAATCCCATCCAAGCACATCCTGTGCAAACACGGGTTCAGCTCTGGAGAGAAGGGTCTGGAAATAGAGCCGGGCTCTGTTTTTCCCTCCATTTGCACTCTGATGGTTCCTCAATGCAAAGCTCAGCTGAGAGGACATCAAGGGTTTTTCCTGCCTGCTTTGCTTCCATGAGGGAGCTGGGAAGGAGATCCAGCTGCTCAGGCAGTTTGTGGGCAGATCCCTGCTTGGCAATGCAGGATCAGCAGGATTTTGTGTAGTTCTTTTTCTGGATGTCCTGTCCCCATCCCAGGCTCCTTATCTTTAGCTGGTGCCTTATATGGGCTTTGTTTTGTTCCTGTCTGGGCACTCAGCATAAAACCAAATGGAAAACTCCTAGCAATTTGGGGGATGATATGGGACAACCAGTTGCTTTTCCCCAGGGATGTCCTTGCTGGCCTTACCTTGGGGTGATGCAGCTGGAAATCCATGTGCTGTTGGGAACCACAGGAGAGGGACACCACAACACCAGGGCAGCAGAAGGTTTCCAGGCCACCTTCCCAAAAAGAATCGAGCCAGCTGAGGCACCCCAAATGTCACCTCCAGCAATGGGGTTTGGAGGGTTAATCCCAAAATATGCAAAGCATTTAGGTTTAATCGCCCTATTAGACCCACTACAAAGGGACTTTTTAAGTGTTACATGAAGCTTAGTGGTCACCATTAACTCCTGCTCTTATTCCAAGCTGCAGTGGAGGAGTTGCTTTATTATTATGATTTTTTTTCTTTTTTTTTCTTTCTTTTTTTTTTCCATTTGGGTTTAAAAGATTAGGAAGGGGAGAGCTCCTGCCCGGCTCACATGCCTCCCCTCATGCTGCCATATAGATTAGAATAACACCCTGCCTGGGTTGGTATTGAACCCTTTTAGACTCATAATGAAAGAGCTGCAGGGGAGAAGAGACCCCCGGGGGGAATAAATCCATGAGTGAGGCTTCCTGCTTCCATTATTTGTTCCTGCTCCCAGGATGAGGCTGGGGAGGAACGAGCCACAAAAACCTCAGTGCTGAGGAGGGGTGGGGGGGGGGAGTTTGTGTTGTGCAGGGTTTTTGGGGAGCCCTGGGCCTGCAGGGCTGAAAAGAGGCTTCAAAAAGGCATTTTTGGCTTGCTCCAGGATCCCTGGGGGGCTTGGCTCAGATGTTCCACGAGGGGGATTTCAGGGAGTTCTCCGTGCCCAGAACCCCAGAGCGGCAAAGCCCCTTTTCCAAACTCGTTTTCCTGCGGAGCCCTGAGGGTGTGGCTTAGTCTTGGTTTAGTGATGTTTCTGAGTAAAGAAGGAATCCAGCTTTATGAACTTTTCCTGGCTTATTCTTGGGCGTGGCTCTGGAATTCCCACCCCTGGGACCGCCAGAGAGGAAGAGGTCCGAGCTTTTGTGCTCGGGGTGCGGAAGAGAGCGGGAAACCCCAGATTTTTGGCAGCCACCCCTTTGTCTCTCTCCATCAGCTGAAGAACAAGTTCATCAAGAAGATCCCTAAGGATGCAGAGGCCTCCAATGTTCTGGTGGGAGAAGTGGAGTTCCTGGAGAAGCCCTTTGTGGCTTTCGTGCGGCTCCTGCAGGCGACGATGCTGGGAGGGGTGACGGAGGTGCCCGTGCCCACCAGGTGAGTGGAATTCCTTGGGGTCCAACGCACTGAGCGGCCTTATAATAGGGAGGATGGTGGTCCCAGGTTGCCAACACAGCACCTTCCCCTTCCCAGGTTCCTCTTCATCCTCCTGGGCCCCGCGGGAAAAGCCAAATCCTACAACGAGATTGGCCGAGCCATCGCGACCCTCATGGTGGACGATGTGAGTGGATGCCACACCCGGCCCTCCCTGGGGACCCCCTTGCTCAGGACCCAGGAAAAAAGGAAAAAAAAAAAAATAGCTATTTTCATCCTATCACCCTCCAAAAAATCCCATAAGGAGGTGAGACAGGTGGGTGCTGGGCACCACTCCCGGGCTGACACCCCTCCTGTGCCCACCACCAGCTCTTCAGCGACGTGGCCTACAAAGCCCGGGACAGAGAAGACCTGATTGCTGGCATAGATGAGTTCCTGGATGAAGTCATCGTCCTGCCACCCGGAGAGTGGGACCCCAACATCAGGATTGAGCCGCCCAAAAAAGTGCCCTCGGCTGAGAAGAGGTGGGTGGGAGGTGTGGGGCTGGACCACCCCCCCTCCCCGTGTCTTGTGTTGTGGAAATGCTGGAGGGCATCAGCTCGGGGTGCCTTCACTCCCAGAAATAACCTCTGCAAACATTCCACAAATGCTGATTTTCAGCAATTTTCACCCCCAGAGCTGTTTCCACTTGGCAGGGACAGCTTCTAGTGGGAAGTGTCCCCCCTCATGGGAGGAAACGATCTTCAAGGTCCTTTCCAAACAAACCATCCCACAATTCCAGAAAAACCTTCATTAACAACCAGGGTGGAGCAAATCCAGCTCTTGATCTTCCCCAAACTCAGCCCAAACCCAAGCTCTGGTGCAGGCAGAGCTCCCCCAGGGCCTTGGGGGTGCCAAGAGCAGCGTCTCTGTCCCGCAGGAAATCGGTTTTCTCCCTCAACGAGGTGGGGCAGATGAACGGCACGGCCGGAGGCGCCGGCGCCGGGGCGGGAGGAGGAGGCAGCGAGGACGGGGAGATGCCTGAAGTCCATGAAATCGGGGAAGAGCTCGCTTGGACCGGCAGGTGAGAGGAGAAACCAGCACCCAAAAACCTCCTGAGGGGGCCAGCACCCACCAGCAGCTCCTGCTGGATCATGTAGTGGCCTCCCAGGACAGGGAAGGCTAAAATCCTTTTGGGCACAAAGAGGTGAAATTTTTGGGGGCAGGGAGGGGTGAAACCCTTTTAGGCACAGAGGAGTGAATATATAAATTATATATATATATTAAAAAAAAATAAATATAAAATTAAATACATTTATAAATATAATATATAATAGAATGTATATTTAGAAATAAATGAAAATACATATTAATATATGTATATATACATTTATATCTCACAACCACCCAGAGAAGATGTGGTTGCTCCTCCTCTGGAAGTGTCCCAGACCAGGTTGGAAGGGGTCTGGAGCAACCTGGGCTGGTGGGAGGTGTCCCTGCCCATGGCCATGGAGCTAAAAGGTCTTTAGGTTTCTCCCAACCCCACCCATTTGGTGTTTCCGTGGCTCAGTCCTGGTGGAAGTCACGTGCCTCTGTTGCTCGGTGGTGTCTCCCCAGGTTTTGTGGTGGCCTCTATTTGGATATCAAGAGGAAGCTGCCCTGGTTCCCCAGCGACTTCTACGAAGGTTTCCATATCCAGTCCATCTCTGCCATCCTGTTCATCTACCTGGGCTGCATCACCAACGCCATCACCTTCGGGGGCCTGCTGGGGGACGCCACGGACAACTACCAGGTCCAGTCCAAGGACAGGGGGGCCCTTCGGCTTGGGAACACAAATCTGGGGTGGGTTGGGGTTTCCCCTCCTTGTGCCTTGCCAAGCTCCAATGCCAGGGCTGGAAATTCATCCCCAAGCGGGACTGGCACTCCCGAAATACTTCCAGGATGGGAAAACCCGCCTCAGTGGGACAACCAATGGGAGCCATATGGGTCCAAACAAAGGTCCTTCATTCCCACCTCCATGTGGGGCATCCGTGGGGATGTCACTGGTGCAGCACCACCATGACCCCAGGTCTTCTCCACCCGCAGGGTGTCATGGAGAGCTTCCTGGGCACGGCCATGGCAGGCTCCATGTTCTGCCTCTTCGCTGGGCAGCCCCTCATCATCCTCAGCAGCACCGGCCCCATCCTCATCTTCGAGAAGCTGCTCTTCGACTTCAGCAAGTAGGTGATCCCAGGGGGAACTGGGTGTTATTGATCCAGTTATTAAAATTATTGGACAGAGGCCTCTGCTCAAATTAATTAATTAATTCCCCAGGCTGGGGAGAGAAACCTGTGGCAAACCCGGGGCGAGATTTTACCACCACACACCCAAAACCCTTCTCCACCACCCTCTGAGGCCACCTAGGGCTGGTCCTTCTGCTGAGTTTGGCTTTCTCTCTGGACACATTCTTCTTCCCTGAGCCCTGTTTACCTCTCCTTGGACCTGAGATAATTGGCCAAACAGTCTTATCCCAAGCTTCCCAGTCCAAATCCCGGTCCGGGGGCACGTTTGGGAGGATGATTTGCTTTGGTGGTCGCAGATGGGCAGTCGGCAAAAAGTCTTTCCGTGACTTTGACAATGTTTTTAAGGCATTACCAACACTTTAGTCCCTCAGACCATCCATGCCAGGATGGGAGGTGTCCTCCAGCCCACGGTACGGTCTCAGGGTGTTGCTCTTTCCTTGTCCCGATTTTCAGAGGCAACGGCATCGACTACATGGAATTCCGCCTCTGGATCGGGCTGCACTCGGCCCTACAGTGCCTTATCCTGGTGGCCACCGACGCCAGCTTCATTATAAAGTACATCACACGCTTCACAGAGGAAGGCTTCTCCACCCTCATCAGCTTCATCTTCATCTACGACGCCATCAAGAAGATGATCGGGGCCTTCAAGTACTACCCCATCAACTCCGACTTCAAGCCCGACTACGTGACCATGTACAAGTGCGAGTGCATTGCTCCCGACCCAGGTGAGTACAACTCCTCCTCGGGGCCGGCCAGGGAGCAGGAACGGGGTGGGGAGGGTCCTGTTGTGGATAAATCCCACTGAGGACGTGGGAAGAGGCAGTAACTCCGTCGGTGTGCGGTGGAGAGACGCCGTCCTCCCCCTCCTCCTCCTCCTCTGAGAGGGGTTCTGAAGGTGGAAGAGGAGCTTTGTCCCTCATGGGTGAACATTTTGGTGCCTTCTGGGACACAGCAAATGGTGCCAAGTGGAGAGACTCGTCCTCGTTCCCCCTCCAGAGGTGATGTGGGAGATGGAAGAAGAGCCTGGTCCTCCGTGGATGAACACATTGGTGCCTCTTGGGACACAGTGAATGGTGCTGAGTGGGGACACCTCGTCCTCATCCTCCTCCAAGGGTGATTTTGAAGATGGAAGAAGAACCTTTTCCCACGTGGATGAACGTGTTGGTGCTTTCTGGGACACAGCAAGTGGAGAGACTTCACCCTTGTCCTCACCCTCCTCCTCCAAGGGTGACTTTGAAGATGGAAGAAGCGCCTCATCCCCCATGGATGGACACGTTGGTGCCTTCTGGGACACAGTGAATGGTGCTGGAGAGTCGGGATCTCAGCCTGGAGCAGCCAGACCTGGATGGATAAGAAGGAAATATGGGAACAAAAAGACATTTCAGATCATTCATTCCAGCCTGCTGCTGATGGGAATTTACTGCCCAGAAAACACCTCGAGCAGTTGAAGGAAGAACCTGGAAGGGAGTGAAGATTTTGGGTCGGGCCCACCTGCTCTCTGAGGAGCTGAATTGATTTAAAAAATCTGAATAATAACAATCCGGGGGGGAATGAAGGTGATGGTGAAGCTCTTCCCAGAAATTAAAGCATCCAAGACATTCCACCCGGTACACTCCCAAAACCATCCCAAGGAGACATCTGACCTCCATCATGGGAATAACGTTGATTTGCTTTAATTTTGCGTTTTTCCTCAATTTCCGCTCATCCACCGCCCGCCGAGTGACGCCATCGCTCGGGATTTGAAAGCCCAGAGGAGCACCCAGAGGGTTCCCAATGAACCTCCCCCCCAAATCCGACCCCAGGGAGAGAGCGAAGGCTCAGGCCCAGCACAATTCCCAGGAGCTGAAATATCCTGCTGGGAACCATCACCATCTGCCTGTGCGTGCCGGGATCAGCCCTTCAGCCTCCAGGGAGGTTTCCCCCTTTTCCAAGCTCCCCTCATCCTGAAAAAAAAATCCCGAGCAACTGAGGGGCCATTTGCACCCCAAAAAACCTCCAACCTCTTTGCAACCCACTCCTCGCCCTCGCTGCCACGTTGGAATCCAGCGTGGGAAATCCATGCTGGATTTTCCACTCCTCTAGATAATGAGAAATTCTGTTTATTATTCCCCCCTCCATCCTTTTTTTTTTTTTTTTTTATCATCCCTTTTTTTTTTTTTTTTTTTTTTTTTTTTTTTTTTTTTTTTTTTTTTTTTTTTTTTTTAATTAGCTCTGATTTTTGATCATTATAACTGATTTGTCCCATATTTGTCTCTGCTGCACACATCAATTTGGGCTGATTTCAATCTCAAGTGAGTATCACTTTCTAAATATTAAAACTATTTTAATATTTGATACTCTTCCCCCGTGAGGGTTTTGTTGCTATATATATATTTTTTTTTTCTCATGTATTTTTCTTTTCTCTCTCTGCTAAAAGGGTTTGTGTAGAGCCCTTAGGGGTCCTCTCTTAAATACCACACCAGTGCTGTGCTGCCCTTTAAGCTGTAAAAAAAGCACAAATCAAGCCAGTTTCTGGAAAAATAAAAGGACGTGGAGGGAACAAAAATAATAATATTAATAATAATAATAATAATAATAATAATAATAATAATAATAATAATAATAATAATAATAATAATAATAATAATATTTTTAGCGCTGGGTTTTGGCAGTGCCTGGTTTTGGCAGCTCTCAGGTCTCTGCTTCTAACCCAGCAATCGCTTCTCCTTCATTAATCCTCGGGGATGGAGCGGCAGGTCCGGGGCAGCCGAAATTCCCGCTTGGCACAGGAAGAGGATGGACCGGAGGGAAGAGGGGAGGGCAGAGCAGTCCCGGACCCTTCTTCGGGGCACCCACAAACAACGTGGGCGCTCCTGAAGCCGCCGAGCTGCGACCCACGAAGATCCCGGAGCCACTTTTTATTTTAATTTTTTTTTTTTTTTGTCCTGGAGGAGAAGGCGCCGGGGGCTGGAAAAGATGGATTTTTGCAGTGAGAGACACCGAAAAAAAAAAAAAAAAACCAAAAAACAACCCACCCTAAACTATTTTTTTTTTTTAAACTACTAAACCAAATTTTAAAAGGCCAATTGGGAAGCGTTGGGTGCCGCCTCTCCAAAAAGAACAGGTGGTTTTTTCCAAGTCTTTACCCCCGCAGTTTTAAGCCGCAGGGGTCGGGATGCTCCACACACACCCCCCCTCCCGTCCCCCACCCCCTGCCGGCGGCTTCCCTGGGAAGCTCCCAAAAATTTTAGGAGCTGGGAAGCTCCTGAAACTACCCCGGCCCTCGCCAGCCCAGGAGGGAGAAGCCGCCGCGGGAGAAGCCGCGTCCTCCAGAGCCGCGCAGGATTAATCAGGGAGAAGTCGCTGCGGGGTTAGAAATTGGGGGGGGGATGTTTCTCCCCAAATCCCTGCGAGGATGTGCTCCACCCCCCCCCCCAAAAAAAAAATAAAAAAGCAGCTCGTTTTTAGCCCAAAACCTCAATAACAAACTCCTTTCCCGCAGCCAACGCGACCTTGTTCGATGCTTCAGCTCCAGTGGCACCGAACACCACTAATGTTTCTCTGGTAAGCAGGGTTTGCTCATCTCACCGGGAATTTTGGGACGGGGGGAGGGCGGATCTGAGGTGCTCTGACCCCCCGGGAGTGAGTTGTGCCGGTTTGGAGTGAGGGGAAACTCGGATTTCTGTTGATCTTCGCCTTTTTTTGGCCCAAATTGATGTCAGCTCCGGGGTTTTCCCGCTGGTTTTGGGGCTCCCAGTGGCAGCAGCCCTGGGAAATGCCCCTTTCCTTGCATGCTGGGATTACTTAGATTCCTAATTTTGGGGGTTTGGCCAGGAAATGCCCCTTTCCTTGCACACTGCAATCCCTTAAAGGACTAATTTTGGGGGTTTGGCCACAAATTACCCCTTTCGTTTCATGCTGCAACTGCTAAAAATTTTAATTTTGCCTTTTTGACAACAAAATGGCCCTTTCCTTTCACACTGGGATTCCTTAAAATACTAATTTTGGTCATTTGGCCAGGAAATACCCCTTTCCTTGCAAGCTGCAGATGCTAAAAATGCTGATTTTGGTTGATTTGTTTGGGAATTCCCCCTCTCTCCAGCGGGCTGCAGTTCCATCAGGTGTTAATTGAGCCTTTTTGGGCTTTCTCCCCAGTCCAATGCTATTAACCTCACAGCTCTGGACTGGACTCAGCTCAGCAAGAAGGAATGCCTCAAGTACGGCGGCAGCTTAGTGGGCAAATCCTGCAAATTCGTGCCCGACTTGGCCCTCATGTCCTTCATCCTCTTCTTCGGCACCTACTCCATGACCTTGACCCTGAAGAAGTTCAAGTTCAGCCGTTACTTCCCCACCAAGGTAAAAAAACAAGCACTGGGTTTTTTGGTTTTTTTTTTTTTCCATCCACTTTTCCTAAAAGGAGGAAAAAACGGGAGCTGTCGGCCCGGGGAAGACAAATCCGTCATTTTTAGGAGGTGTTGGAAGGAACTGGAATCTCCCCGAGCTTTTTAGCCACTGGTTTATGGGCAAAAGCCTTTGAAACAGCACCCCAGAACTCTTCACACTGGAGATTTTAGTGGAGTTTTAGATGGATGAGGATAAGGATAAGGAATGGTCACATCCAGAGGGAAGTGTCAGCAGCTCAGAGTCCCCGTGGACACCAGTGACCGGTGGCAACCAGCGTGACTTAATGACTTCATTAGTGACGTAAATGAAGGGGTTGACACCAAGCTGAGGGTGCAGGTGCACTCCCAAAGGACGGGATACTGGGAAGGAATTCCTCCCTGTGAGGGTGTTGAGGGGCTGGGATGGAATTCCCAGAGAAGCTGTGGCTGCCCCTGGATCCCTGGAAGTGTCCAAGGCCAGGCTGGAGCAACCTGGTCTATGGAAGGTGTTCCTGCCCACGGCAGGGGGTGGCACTGGATGATCTTTAATATCCCATCCAATCCAAACCATTCCATGATTCTATAACTTGGCTCTCACATGCTGAATAACCCATAAACCTTGTGATGAAAGGGGAGAAAACTTTGGATTTTTTTGAGTTATCCCTGCATGAGTGGAGTTGGAGACCCCCAGGGAAAAGACCCCAAAGCAGGAGCAAACCCCTCCATCCCATCCACTTTCCCCTCCATCCCATTAATCACCCTTTCCACCCCCGTTTCCCTGTCTTGCCTCCAGGTCAGGGCTTTCATTGCTGATTTTTCCAATGTCTTCTCCATCCTGATTTTCTGTGGAGTGGATGCCTGTTTTGGACTGGACACCCCCAAACTCCACATTCCCAGTATCATCAAGGTTTGGCCAAACCGGGGGAGACCCCTCACCTCTCCCACGCTCTTTTTCCAGCTCCTCACTGATTTTTTTGGGTGGGAAAAACATCTCCTGCAGTGTCCTGGCACCTTCTTAAAAGCTACTTTGTCTTTTCTAAGGAATATTCTAATTCTGTGACTTTCTTTCCTCCCTTTTTTTTTATTTTTGTTGTTGTTTTTCCTCCCTTTTTCTCTCTCTCTCTCTCTCTCTCCCTCCTGGCAGCTCCGTAAACTCATTAGTGATTTCTCTATCTTTATGTCCATACTAATGTTTGTGGGGCTGGATGTGCTTTTTGGACTCAACACCCCAAAGCTCCAAGTGCCTACTGATTTTAAGGTAAAAAAAAAAAAAAAAAAAAAAAA